GGAAGGATTGGTATTAAAGACGGCTTCAGTTAGGTTAAGTAGAGTTATGGTTATAAGTTGAGTTTGATTAGTAGGGGTTAAGTCGGGATAGAAATAGGGTTATGCAAGGGTATATTACGGTAAGTTTAGATTAGTAGGTTTAAGGTATAGGGATAGGTTAGGGGATAGGTTCTAACAACATTTTGGTGTTATGAATGGTTCGGGTTAGAGATGGGCTAGGCTCGGTAGGTTTAAGTCAAGTTGGGGTTAGAGACAGAGAAGGGGTTATTTAGGGTTAATGTAACAAGAGATAGAATTAGATTAAGTAGTTTAGAGATAGGGAAGGAGTAAAATTACGGCTGGTTAGGTTGACGAGGGTTAGGGTTGTAGGCGGGTTAGATAAGGTAGGTTTGTGGTTGAGGTTAGAAACAATTTAGATTAGGTAGGGTTATATTTACGATTAGAGCTAGGTATGGTTAGGGTTTGGATTGGGGTAAGTTAAGTTAGGATTAGAGACAATTATATTACGCAGGGTTTGAATTAGGTTTGGAGACGGGTTAGATAAAGGAGGTTTATGGTCGAGGTTAGATCCAATTTAGATTAGGTAGGGTTATATTTAGGATTAGAGCTAGGGAGGGTTAATGTTTGGATTGGGGTAATTTAGGTTAGGATTAGAGACAATTATATTACGCAGGGTTTGAATTAGGTTTGGAGACGGGTTAGATAAAGGAGGTTTATGGTCGAGGTTAGATATAATTTAGATTAGGTAGGGTTATATTTAGGAATAGAGCTAAGTAGGGTTAGGGTTTGGATGGGGGTAATTTAGGTTAGGATTAGAGACAATTAGATTACGCAGGGTTTGAATTAGGGTTGGAGACGGGTTAGATAAAGTAGGTTTATAGTTGAGGTTAGAAACAATTTAGATTAGGTGGGGTTATATTTAGGATTAGAGCTAGGTAGGGTTAGGATTTGGATTTGGGTAAGTTAGGTTAGGATTAGAGTACCCTAGTACCCTATTAATTAGGTAAGTAAGGTTAGGATTAGAGACAATTAGATTACGTAGGGTTAGATAGATTAAAAATTATAGACGGGTTGGATAAGGTTAGGTTGATAAGAGTTAGCGTTTACTTTTAGGTAGATTCGTCTTGAAGACATAAAACCGATGATTCAAACGAAAATAATGAAAGAAAAATAGTACTTTAACGCAATAGGGAAAACGTTTAAAATCACTAAATTTATTACCCATTAAACTAAACAACCTCAATACCCAGAATCAATGTTGCCAACAGTGTTACCCCAAACATTGAATGTAGGGAAAAATACCATTATTTGAGAGATATGTATCACTTTATTTAGCTTTATGATGATATAAGTTTGATGATGATATAATGCATCCGGCATTCGTATGTATTTCGTCGGATGGTTCGGAATTTCAGGATTTTTTTTATTTTTGTTTTTTAAGAAACACCCTAGGGGAATAACATTTAGAAAGCCGGCTGTGAAAGAAAACGTCTTAAGGGATCCGCCGTTTATACGATTTGGTTATGATTTACCCAGGAATAAAGAGAAAGTCTGTTTTCATATTTAGATCACGCGCCAATTTCATACTATTACTATTATCATTTTTTTTTTATAACATTGGCGATTTCGATTTTTTCCTTTTTTTTATTTTGTTTTGCTTTGTTTTACGGTTTAACGATTGTAAAGGGAAGTCGGAGACGACTTCCGGACCCGCAACGGTCCATTAGCCGTCTCACGTCTGGAGAACTTGCAAAACGCATCGCATGAAATAAGGGAAATGGTTCACGCTTTCAACCTGGAAGAGATTCCAGCTAATCACCCGCCCTTAAAGGTAATAAATTATCATGAAAAGTCCAGATTCAAAGCGTGATGCTTTTAAAACTTTCAACGTTTCGGTCTTATCTACAAAATAAAAAAGAGAACATTTTATACTCCTTTGGTAGTAGTGAGTGATTTTGACCAAAGAAATCACGATTTAAATTTTTTAAAATTTAATGGCTTTATAATGAGCTTTAAGTAACTTCATAATCAGAAAGGGTTATATTTTATAAATAATATTTTTCAATTAATTAATCTTTTTATGTAAGGTATTGGTTGAAATGAAAAAGTTAGTGTCACGAGCGGGATTCGAACCCACGACCTTCGGCTCAATACGCCGCTGCTCTAGCCACTTGAACTATCGAATATTGGAGATCCCTGGAAAAATTCATCAACTTAGGGGAAATCAAGCTTTGAACCTGATATATCAGTTTTGCCTCCTCACGAAGTTTACGTCTTTAAGTAAAATTTCAATTAATTATTCTTTTTATGTAAGGTATTGTTTGAAATGAAAAAGTTAGTGGCACGAGCGGGATTCGAACCCACGACCTTCACCTCAATACGCCGCTGCTCTAACCACATAAGCTACCTACCTTTCGAATTTTCAACTTTTCAATTTTCAAGCTACTTCATATATCGCTGAGAATCGAATCCTGATTACACATTTGAAAAATGGCAAAAAGGAGGGAAAATTCGAAACGTTGTAGGTTGAGATGGGGAGTTGGTGTCCGAGTGGATCGAAGTCACCTCAAGTGGTTAGAGCAGCGGCGTATTGAGCCGAAGGTCGTGGGTTCGAATCCCGAGCGTGACACTAACTTTTTCATTTCAACAAATACCTTACATAAAAAGATTAATAAATTGAAAGATGTTATTGGTCGATCGGACCACGAAATATAATGGATTCATAAATAATGAAAATAAAAATTATATACTGTCTTTACCTTCCTAACTCATAATCCGTTGCAAAAGGTTAAAGATCAAAACTCCTCTCATCATCATCATGATTAAGGCAAGCGGAAATGTAAAGAAATTTAAGTGATTTTGGACAAAGAAACAATGTTATGGTTTAAAATGTATTAAATATAATGAGATTTGTAATAATCAATAATATTTTATGATCAGACAGGTTTTTATTTTAAAAATAATGGAAATAAAATCCATTTTCTTTCTTTACCTTCTTTACTTGTATTATTTCTGAAAGAAAATTCAATTCGTACACTCGATTCGTCCAAATTTTCTGCATCATTGCATCTCTCCAAAAGTGATTTTTTTTAAGATGTAATTTTTTTTTATATTTTGTTTCTCCAAAATGGAAACTGAAGAAAAACCGAAGAGAAAGCGGAACAAGGATCCTCTCACGGGAGAAGCTCAGAAGGTCCGCTGATTAACTCCTTTCCCAGTGTATTGTAAAAATTAATACAACGTCTCAAAATAGAACATAAAATAAAATTATGCTAATGTTTTTCTAAAAAAAAGAGAGACAATTTATATTTTTTAAAACACTTTTATTAATCATTAATATTTTTCTCACATTACATTACACATTTAAAAATCATTAATAAATAAAATATACTATAATAAAAAATCAATCGTACAGCTATTACTGTTCAACATATAAATAATGTATTTTGCATTAATTGATTATAAAATTATCGAAAAAAATTGACAGAAATTTTCCTTTTTGTATATTGTTTTGTTTGCCTAGTGTATGTGTTTGACTGTGAGTGTTTTCAATTTTAAATATTCCATTTTTTAATTACTTTTGTTTTGCTTCTTATATTCTAAATTTATCTTCTGACTAAGATCTTCTGACTAATTTATTTTTAAAATAAATTGTAGTAATTATTTATTAATTTACTTATCCCTATTGTATATATATAGCTTTCGTTGTAATTTATATTTATTTATAATGACATGTGTTCTGTGTGTTTGGGTCGTGCATGTATGAATGTGTGTTGATTTATTTAAAAAAAAATATAATGATTATCTGCATTTTTTCAATGAAATATGATACATTTGATGCTAACCAGTTTTTGGTTATTTCGGTATATTGTAAAATATCACTTTTTTTTCGAACGTTTTACGTTTATTTCTTTTTTCTTTGAATAACTTACATTTACTCTATGAAATAGCATGTTCTACTCGAGCCTAATGGCAATATATGCACTATTATCTTTATTTGTTTCCATTAAATGGATTATATACAATTTCTCGATGAAATACACGGCGCTACGGTCGCCTTATGAGAGATTGTGCCTATGTTTTATTTTTGTTCATTATTTTGTATTTTATCATTGGAATATTGGATTCGAAATATGCCTAAAATGAGTAAGTATTAGTTTTTTATATCACAATTGCTTCTTTTCATTATTTCTCAATGAAATACAAGGCGCTACAGTCGCCTAATGAGAGATTATGCCTGTTTTATTTTTATTGATTACTTTACATTCTATCACTGGAATATTGGATTTAAAATATGCCTAAAATGAGTAAGTATTAGTTTTTTATATCACAATTGCTTCTTTTAATTATTTCTCACTGGTATACAAGGCGCTACGGTCGCCTAATGAGAGATTATGCCTAGGTTTTATTTTTATTCGTTTTTTTACATTTTATCGCCGTAATATTTCATTCAAAATATGCCTAAAATGAGTAAGTATTAGTCCTTAATTGGTTTTCATTCCGTAATTCGTTATTTTCTCAATGAAATATCGGACGCCGCAATGTCCAAAGTTAGTTTTTGGGCTCGTATCTACTTTTTGATGGTAGTAGTTTCATTTATTTTCTTCTTATTTTTTTTTTTATTATAATTTCTCAATGAAATTACAAGGCCCGACTGTCGAGTAATTTGATTTTTTATTTGTGTTTAATTAATCAGTTTTTCTTTTTTTTTTAATCTGAACCAATATATAACTTGTATACTTCTTTATTTATCTATTAAAACTGTTTTTATAATTCAAAATTAAATGACTAGTATGTGTGTTGATTTAAAAATTTATTTGATGTTTCATGTAAATTTTGGCAAAGCATGTTTGCCTTTTTTTTTAATTAAATAATTTCAATTTTTCAAAAATTACTTGTGTGTGTGTTTATTGGGTAGTATTCATTCCAATTTAAATTTGTTTAAAGTTGTTAACTTCAATATAGCATGAATCCCTTTGTTTTGAAATAAAAGCATTCTATAATTTTATAATCGTATTCACTTTTTTTTTTAAATAATAAAATACATGAAAGACTTGCCTTCGCTTAAGATGGGTTTATAAATAAGTTAATCTATTGTAAAATACACAATTTATATCCTAAATCAAAATTAACAATTCTTAATTATATACATGATTTTTTTTTAAATTGATCAATAACTTTTTTTAAAATATGATATAAGATGAGATCAATGAACTGAGGCTTGCCTGGAAAGGATTATTATATAATAATCATTACCTTGCAGCCATACTTGCTAATATAATACATTCTAGAAGAATGTCTCTTAAATATAAAAAGCCTAATAAAATAGTAACAATAACAAATATTAATAACATTAGTAGCAACAAAACAAATTGATAACAACAACAATATATTATTTAACATTTGGGAGGAAAATTTACTGAAAGTACGCACCACAGTTTTCGCATTTTTTGTACCTCCCACAAGAAAATGGGTAACAGCAGAAGCAGAAAAGCGTTGCGTATGAGTACTCCTCTTTTAACAACCCAATCTGGAAAAAAATCGTAATTTGAGGTTTGTTATTGCAGGTTTTTTTTTTCTTTTGTCTCTACGCACTTTACATGCTGGACACATCCCAGGTCTGACTTCATTCTCCCCTGAAGACACAGCACCATAAGACGGTGGAGGCATTTTCGGCATCACGCATGGAACGTAGCCTGGAGGGCCTTCCGGGATCGATGTCCTCTGATAACGACCGACTTGAACGACAACAAAATCCAAAGTTAGAATAAATTTTTAAATACATTTGAAACAAAAATTATCCTAGATGACATTGGTAATTTTTGGTTAAAACTCACTACACACCGTCAATATTTCTATATCACATAAGCTATTAAAACATCCATTGTTAAAAATGTACAAAATAATTGTTTTATTACCTGGTATTCTATCTTCAAGAGGAGGTGAGTTAAAATATTTGTTATTGTATCTTAAAAAAGGATTTCGGTTGAAACCAAAGTTCTTCTTTGCTTCTGAGGATCAAAAAACATTAATTATATTACTCATACTTTTCAAAAATTTAATATAATAAAAAATTTTCTTTTGAGATTTCTTTATTTAGTCTGCATGCTGATGAACCTGTTATGGATTTCTTCAAGCACATTCTATCAAATTTAAGTGTTCTTTCATCTCACCTCACAATAACCCACCATTTATTTTTCATTTGTGCGTTTTATTTATTTTGATGCAGCCCCTTGGTGCTCATCATATTGTCAGCCATTTTTATTTTATCCAATATTTGGGCATTTACTTCAATATGCTCTCATTTTTAATTATTATTATTATAATTTATTTTATTCTTTTACCCTACTGGCTTTTTTATTGATATAATAAGAGGTTAATTATAATAAATGTCTATAATATCAAAGGTTAAATCTTACTGACTTGCGGGTTATACTTTTGATGAGATAAGAGCCCATAAATTTTATTTAAGCTTAACATAAAAATATTTTTATATTTTATTTATTTATTTTTTTGGAAGTTAGCCATCATGACACAGAGCCCATTGTTTAACTTTTTTTTTTTTTTAATGAGAAGTTGGAGTCATTTATTACCTGGTATTTTAATTGGTGAATGTTGAGCTGAGTAACCCTGTCGTTTATAATTTGATTTGATTATAACAATCGGCTGCGGTTCTGTTGAAGGAATAAACAACGTATTACAAAAATTAAAAATTGTCATAAATTAACGAAATTAATTACAACAATATTTTGTTCAACTATGTTATGCATGCAAGAACTTTTTAAAAACATTTTTTACCCAAGTTCCTCGTACTGCAGTTGCATCAAATTTAATTCAAGTTTAAATAGTTCCAAGAATTTTCAACATTAATCGCCCGGTCAAGCCCATTTAAATAATTTTTTATTTAATGCTTTTTTTAATATATTTATTATTGATAGAGCTATCAGGTGGTAAATATCAAAAAGAGATTGTCTTACTTACCCTCAACATAGCCTTTGCTAGGTGGATTTAAAAATCTCTCCAAAATTGAACGGTTCCTGGCCCAGTCATTACTCACTTCTGTGAAAAGAAAGAAAAAGTAACATCGCATATTTATATTAAAATTTAATTTCTTTATACCTGATCTGCTATTTTCTGAGGGAGGTGAAGTACTAGTTTGGTCGTCATTTGACTCCTTGCTCGAATCCGATTTCAATTGTGGCACGTCTGCACATAAAAAGTGAACTTTTAAAAAAATAAGCGACATTTTAAGCATTATATGTTTTTCTCTTATATTTTAACATACAAAGAAAAAACAATAGTCAAGTTCAATATTTTTTTTAAATATTCTATTGTTTCTAGTTTTCTCTTACCTCTATTTGCATTTTCAAAAATATTTTCCAGAAGAGACGCGTTGTATTGGCTGTCGTTGTACGGCTCCATAGTGGAATTGCTCCTCGTCAAAACCGGTTGTACATCTGATCAGAAAAGATTCATAAACTAATCTAATTGCTAATATAAATTATTACAAGTAATTAAGGTTTTTAGTTGAGATGAAAAAAAGTTAATGGCACGAGCAGGATTCGAACCCACGATCTTCGGCTAGATATGCGATACCTCACGATGTCATGATAGCTTAAGTGGTAGAGCAGCGGCGTATCTAGCCGAAGATCATGGGTTCGAATCCCGCTGCAGCGGCGTATCTAGCCGAAGATCGTGGGTTCGAATCCAGCTCGTGCCATTAACTTTTTTTCATCTCAACTAAAAACCTTAATTAATTGTAATGTATTAATTGGTCAAGCAGACCACGAAATTAGTGAATTTAATATAAATTATGGTAAATTTCATAAACTTTTAAACTAATGTTATATTTTAAAAACATTGATGCAAATATTTTATTTTCAATCTCTTTCTCTCACTCTCTATCTCTCTCTCTCTCTCTCTCACTCTCTTTCTCTCCTTGCTCCTATTTATTCACTTTCATTCTCTCTATCTCTTTCTCATCTTTCTATCGTCCTTATTCTTTCATACTCAATAGTTTTTCTCTCTATTATACTCCCTTTCTTCTTGTTTTCTACATCTAATCCCTCTGTTTCTCTCAGTATTTGCTCTTTTTCTTTCTATCTGGTTATACTCCACCTCCCTTTCATTCTCTAAATATCTATCTTTTTGTTCACTTTTTCTCTTATCTCCCTCCTGTCAACATATCTAACTCACTCTCTTGCATTTCCTCTTACTTACTTATATTCGCATTTTCATTAAAATTATCTGTAGGAGACGAATTAGCATGTGTTTCATTTTTTGACTCCCTGGTTGCATGTCCACTTCCTCCTTTGGGCTGGGATTCTGTGGAGAAAATGCCCATTAACTCAAGTTCAACTTGCATAAAAGATAAAAAGTTTATATTTATTTTTGTATTGTTAACAATGCTTGAGATGATTGGTTTTACAGCTTTTTTTAAGTTCAAAAATAATACTGAGACGATTCATCACTAGTGCCATTTTTCCTGCAAAACTAACCAAACACCTCGGTGCCTCTACTCACATACTCCTTTTTGTATGATACTTGCCTTGCCAAAGTGGTTGTACTGTCTAATTCTCAATTTTGGAAAATATTGTAAACCAGGTGTATTGACATTCTCAAAAGCAGTGGATTAAGTTTTAATAATTTCTCAGTGTTTGCTATTGTCAATATTGAAATTTGCTGTATTGTACTTCAATGACATACCATCTTACTGACCATCAACAATATTTGGATATTGTCTAACCATCCCAAAATTCTGGAGAGAAATAAAATAAAAATGAAATAACTATAATGGTACTTGACAAAATGAAAGGAACTCAAATTTGACAAACCATTCCAAGAGATCTTTGGAAAAAAAGGAAATCCCAAAGTTCAAGAAGGGGTGAAGATGGTAAGTAGGTGTAAAGGATAAAGAAGCTACACTAGCAAAACCTTTCCCCCCCCTCAAAGCTCCATGCAATTCAACTTTCTGTCCAGTGCACAGGAGTGTTCCATGGAGATGGAAAAATGGCTTGCAAAAGAAAAAGTCAAGCACTGGATGAATGCACCAGGTATGAGGCAGGCTAAGAGATACATAAATCTCTCAAAAAGAAAAGCAAAGAAACTCTTTTCTTTATGTAGGCAAGATTTGATGGAAATTATGCCCTCTACCACCTAAAGAAGAGGTCAAGCCGGGGCAGAATCGTACCAACTCTACCAAGGGAAAATGGCCCAGACAGCTTAAAGCTGTCAACACATACTTAACAATGATGGAGAAAGAAGCTTAAATAATTACCTCACCTAGATTTCCACAATTGTTTCCTGTGATTTTGAATACTAAAAAATGAACTTTTTCTATTTTGAGATTTTACTGTGAAGTCTGAGGGGTGTAATTTGGTCATTACCGGCCATTTTGCTCTATCTACATTCATTCTGTTTGCCTGTCAATACAGCAAGGATTGGCAGAACAAAATGATCATTAATGACCTAACTTTTATAGTGTCTATTAGATAATTTAAACTTTTAGGTTATATTTTTAAAAAGAATGAGAGTTGTACTTTCTTTAAAAGTTAATTCATTATAAGTTTATTTATTATCTTTTGTTTCAGTTTTTACATATTTTTTGAAATTACATATAGTGTTGATAGGTGTCCCCTCAATAGAGTCTAAACCACAGGAGGATCATCCTAACCCGACTAAGAATCGGCCATACACGATTGACCCAAAAAAACTTAAGTGTCCGGCATGCAGAAAGAGGTTGCTCAATGAGTCACACTTAATGGAAGAGTGTAATAGCTCAATATAAAGAGCGAGTAGGAATGTCACCAGAAACAAAAATTGTGCTCGACTACGACGACCAAACAAATCCTTGGATCCAGCTATTCAGATTTTTGGAAGAAACTTAGGTATTTCTGTATATGTAGATTTTAACAAGTATGATGATAGATTTATTCTGTGTTGTTTCATAAGAATATATTTATAATATTTATAAGTGTGAATGTGTTGTACAAGAGTGTCATTCGTAGAACATTAAGTAATCCATTTCCTCTCAATTAGATGGGTTATTAATAAGTGTAAAAGGTAATGGAGGAATATCAAATCCACCGCTCTGCTTAAGCTGTCTGAAAATAAAAAGCATGCGTATAAGAATGAGTGTTACAGTTAAAAGTGCATTCATTAAGGGCAGAAATTTTTGTTGACAGCCTTAGGAGCACTTCAACGATGATAGGGATGTCAGATTGCCACAAAACACCAGAGTTTCACTCGCAGCTAATTGTGAGAAGCCATAGGTTAGATTCTGTACATGTATATGTGTGCACATATGTGTAAAATTGAGCCTATATTCAATCAATCAATCCGGGCACATATTTTTATTTGTATTTCACATAAAATTACATCTGGTTACTTCCTTTTGGAGTCATTTTCATTGGAGGCGATTCCAATGACTGTCAAAAGATCATGTTCTTGACTTCAGAAATCTTATGTAATACATGACTTAATTGTTGTTTTTATAAATGTACAGCATAATTAATACAAGATTTTAAAGAAGAAATATTTATTTAATAAGATTATGAATCTACCACTTGAGGTTATGCCTGATTTAATAAGTGTAATGTTTTATTGAAATATATTTAATATTATTCATTAATACAGAATTCAGTTATATCCAGCTTAATTTTCGTATTGTTTTTATTACAGGTAATCTAGCTCTAGTTAAGCATAAAAGCTCTAAAACTTTAAAGGCTTTTTAAAATCTGATTTTTTATAATTTGGACAAGTGCTGCTCTCTTATATTGAGTATGGGCACATTAATGTATGATCATAATTACTGGTTAATTCTCAATTTTTCAACTTAAACAAAAAATTTGATTAATTATTTTCTTTTAAAAAAATATTATTTAAAAATATTTTTTTAAATGAAATTTAGGCTGAATGGTCGGAGGATTTGTGGATAGTCAATTTTCACAGTTCATTTTTATCGAAATGGACATCAATTGAAATTAAAAAATGGTAACTGGCTTTTAGTTTATTATGATGGAATTTTTAATTAATATATAATATAATCGATAATCTAGCTTTAATTGAGCATAAAAGCTTTATAAAACATGAAATATTTTATAATTTGGACAAGTGTTGCTCTCTTACATTGACTATGATCATAATAATATATGAATCATAGTTACCGGTTAATTCTCAATTTTTCAACTTTAACAAAAATTTTGACCAATTATTTTCTTTAAAAAAATAATATTTAAAAATATCATTTTTTTATAATAAATTTAGGATGAATGGTCGGAGGATTTTGTGGATAGTCAATTTTCTCCTGTAATTCTTAATTTTCGCAGTTCTTTTTACGGAAATGGACATCAATTGAAATTATAAAATGGCAACTGGATTTAAGTTGATTATGATGAAATTTTTATACCTCGTGTTGTATTATTTGTATCGTGAGAATTTAAGCCTCCTTCGTCTCCTTCCGTCTCCATGGCCGACAGAAAATTGTCCCAGAGGGCCTGGCCCTAATCTGCGTCGAGAAAAATATTTACAGTCCCAAGGAAACATGCCGAATTTGAGGATTATACGACAAGAACATCGGCCTTTCCCGGCGGGCCGGTGAGACGGCGATAAAATTCTCGAGAAAGATTATTCAAAACAAATAATCAACGCGCAAATTGTACGTGGTGAATTTGGTTTTAAGCGTTTGACAATGTTGAGAATTGAAATGGATTTTAGCTTAGATTTTATTCATTTTTCAACTTTTAAAAACGAAAAATCTTTTATTATTGACAGGACAAATTTTTCAACATGGAATCATATTAGAAAAAAATGCCTTCTTTCCATTACGGTGTAAACTTAATTAGTTTGGTCATCTGATCACCCTCTCCGTCACCCACTTTCTCTCCTCTCACTCTCTCTCTCTTTCACTATTTCCTTCTCTTACTACCTTCTTTATTCTTTCATCCTCCATTTCCTCTCCTCGTACTCTCTCTTACAGTTTTTTTCGTATTTCCCTCAGTCAGTTCTCTCTCACTCTCTCTCACACTCTCTCTCTCTCTCCCTCACCCTCTCTCTCTTTCTCTTTCTCTCTCCCCCTCCCTCCCCATCTTTCTCTTTCTTTATCATTTTTTCATTCTTTCAACATGGAATCATATAAGAAAGAATGTCGCTTTTTACCGATCATGTTTATTGTTATGTTACCGATTATTGTTTTGGTCACCTGAAGGGCCTTAAATTTTCATTAGGATGTCAGTCAAACGAAGCTACTGGTTAGAATATATAGTCACAAATATTTACGGTTCTTTTATTATTGAAAAAATTACTCGAATCGTTTAAGTGCAAACAAAGCCGTTGAAAGTCTGTAACGACAACCTTGGCAGATCCAATAACGAAATTTTCCAGGTATCACCGTCATCCTAAAATATACAATTCTCTCTCTCTCTCTCTCTCTCTCTCTCTCTCTCTCTCTCTCTCTCTCCCTTTCTCTCTCTCTCTCTTTCTTTCTCTCTTTCACTCTTTCTCTTTCTCTCTCTTTTTCTTTCTTTTTCCCTCTCTCTCTTTTCTTTTTCTCTCTCTCTTTCTTTCTCTCTTTCACTCTTNTCATTTGCGACTGATTTTTCGTATTTGTGTACTTGTGCTCTGGGACAAACCGTCGCCTGTTCCTAATACTTAAGCAAATATGAAGTTCCTGTACTTTTTCCCTTCGTCTCTTACTTCCATGAGAAAATTACTTCAAGGCGAGGACACGGGGCCTTTCTAACTAACCTCCCCACCATTGAACTCCAATCGGAACTTTTCCTCCCTCGATTAGTACTCGAATTTCGATTTTTTTTTTTTAAATCTATCAACAAGAAACTGATCTTGAATAAAGCGTGATGCCGCGTTAGATCATTCAAATAGAAAATGTAAAAAGATCGAGTCGGTTTTTCAATTTTTCACTGTCTCAAGCCGGCCTTTCCGCGTTCTTTTGTCACGAACGTTTCCGAGTATGCGACACCGTTTTTTCGCACTGGGGAAAAACTCGTGACTCAGGGCAAATAAAACTGAATTTATTTCTTGTGATAAAAGTACCGATGACACAATGGGAATACTATTTATCAGTCCTAAGCTGGACCTTCATGATTCCAATACGATGGCACCTGAATCATGACATCACAACCGCATCTAGGCAATCTTACAGTTTTAACATTTATACTATTCAAGTTTTGTGGACATCCACCAACATGTCCTATACCACATGGTTTGTAGAAGGAAAACATGAGGAAGTCAATATTTCGACTTTCGCGAAGGTTTTCCTGTATTAGCAATTTGTTTTAACCTCTAATTCGACCAGGTTGAACCATGAAACTTTAAGGATTACATCTAGGCTAGTTATAACCCGTGTCGACGAAATGCTAATCTAGTAAACAATAAACATCAATCATGGTTAGGTAATAACTGCTTAAATACTGGGTAGCTGGAAGCACGACGAAGTTTTAAAATTCGTTGAGGTTGTGAAGGTTAACTTCAATGTACGACACACCACCTACACTACAAGTCGCAAACTGCGAGACTCTCTGAGTATGTTGACATGTTAAAAAAAATTAAAAACAGGACACAGTTTGCTCCCTTAGCCCATCTTGCAACAAATTCAAAACTCCTCGTCGTCTTTTGATCCACGTCTCACTGAGCTTTCCTTTTTTGCTTCTAATTTGCAGCAGTTGGAGAAATCAGCCCCAACCATCACAGATCTCGCAGAAAATATTAATGCCTTTTTCAGATTCATTTAAAAAAAAGCGGGTGAGAAGGGAGAAAAGTAGGAAATAAGGACATGTGTAAGTCACGTGTTGCCTATGAATTGACGATATAATTCTTGATTTTTCTCCACGAGCAGTGGCTTTTATACATTTTAGTCTATCGGTTTACTACAGTTTTTAATAAAACAATGATTGCAGTCGCATTTTCTTCGATTTTTGTGAATTGTGTTCTTGTATTGGTAATTTCGATTTAACCTCTAATTCGACAGAAAAGAATAAAAAAAACAGCACGAGTTCCGGATAGCAGGTGGACCGTGAAACTCAAATGATTTTTTTCTAGGACTTTAGACCAATTTACACCATTGCGGTCGGTTGAAATAGACCGATACTTCCGATAGTAAATCGTATCATGATTATGGTTATGGTTATCAGGGAGACATTCGCATAGAAGACGCATAAACTACTTTAATTCGGTAGAAACATTTTTACAAAAACAAGGGTTTCAGATAGCCAAGGTCCGTATTGTCATTAAAAGCCGATAATAAACATAATTGGCATCCGTCAATATTTAATTTATATATAAATATAAATCGCATTATCAGAATGTTATCGTTGTTTCCAAACCCCCCGCATTGTTGTTGTTCAAAATAGGTGAAGGATCTTCAATTGTCTTGACGGATAGCGATCTTAAGAGAATTCTCCCCCTCGTCGGTTTATAGAGCAAAATAATCGTTATGCACCTTTGGACCGGTTGGGTCGAATCAAGGCTTTGGGTCCGCTCTGAAGACCATCATTAGATAAAACCATTATTTCCTGTTGGATATTTTATTTATTATTCAGGGACAGAGAGAGAGAAAAAAACCGATTCCTGCTCTTTGGAAAGTAAAAGTTGACAATCGGCAAAAACGTAGGAGTACCATGGTACTTTCGTTGGTCCTTTTTTTCCTTCTGAAAGAAGAACCCGTCCCGTTCACTGGATCATTGTATTTCAACGCCTGATCATAAAAATAAAACTATCCACAAAAGAAGGTCGAGTAACCAAGAGAAGCAGTAAAGAATATTTTAGTTTAGGCCTTCTGTTTTTTTAACTTTTATTTTATTAGTCTTTAAATCAAAACATCTATAGGTTAATTTTAAATTAAACATGGATAATTTGAAATTAAAAAGGGCTAATTTTGTACAAGAAATGGTTAATTTGCACCAAATTAACCATTTTTAATTTCAAATTATCCGTGTTTAACTTTAAATTAACCTTTTGTTAATTTTCAAAACCCTTCTAACTTAAAATCAACCGTTTTTAATTTCAAATTAAATTAATTTTTCAAAAATTTCAAATTAACCCTTTACTTGAGCATTAAAATCAGTAGGTTAGTGTAAAATATATGCTTAAAAATTAAAATTTAATTTTTTTTAAATATAAAATAAATTTGGTTTTTCGAAGTCCATAAGAAAATTAATTGCAATAAAAAATAAATTAAATTAAAATATATCTTTTTCCGTCGAATTTATCCACTTCAAATTATTAATTTTTTTAGTTTTTTTAATTAATCTGTTTAAACGTCAAATTAATCTTTTTTATTTCAAATAAAATTTTAAATTTGTAATGTACATTTTGTAACTTCAAATTAACCCTTTTTAACTTTCAATTATCCTTTTTAATTTTCAAAACACTGTAATTTCAAATTAACTTTCTTTAAAACGTTAAATATAAATTAACCCCCCAAATTAAACATTTTTAATTTCCAAAACCCTTTATAACTTCAAATTAACCATTTTTAATTTCAAATATTATTTCAAATTAACCTTTTAAACAAAAATTAACTTTATTAAATTTCAATTAATCTTTTTAACATCAAATTAACGCTTTATTTTAAGTATTAAAAAATTTAGGAGTGGATATGAAATATAAACGTAAAATAAAATTGAATTTGAAAATTAATTACAACTAAGATTGTATAAAATTAAATATAAAACCAAATTATCCTTCTGTTTATTTGAGATTTATTTACGAATATATCTATTTGTTAATGAAAATATGAAAGAATTGGTCCATAAAATAATAATTTTATATTTTAAAAAATCAGAAATTAATGGAAGAATCATGTGGTTTCTTTCATTTTCATGAGGTATTTTTGATAAGAACAAATTTTATATTAAAACAATTATTCCTAAATTAAAATAATTGTTTATTTTGAAATGTTTTAAGTTTAATTGTAATTACTTTTCATATGGTCTTGTAAGATCCTTTGTTTTTCAAATGCAGGAATTTTACATTTGAACTTACATTTCGAACCATTTCCGAAGTTATTTTTTTAAAGCTTTAAAGAAAGGGTTAATTTGATGCGAAAAAGGGTTAATTGGAAGGGCAAAAGCTGTAATCAAAATTTATCATACTATCAATTAAACTTGTGTTGATTCGTATTAGTGAAATGAGTTATTGTGAAGGTCAGGGAAGTCATTTTATTGACCTGTAGCCCACAACAACCTAAAATAAATATTTGAATATATTTTTCCTCGAAAATTTCATTTTGAATTTGTAATCAATGTTTTGTTTTAATGGGATAATTGAAGAAGAGATAGTAACGGATAGACCTTGGAAGGACCCAGAAACAAAACTATGAAGGCCTATAGTTCTATGCCATAGTAATTTCATGCGGTCATTAATTATGACCGTTATCGACTGCATAACTTTCACCGATCACTTAGGAACATTTCGAATTATCCCTTTCTGACTTTTTCTATATCGGTTTATTATCCGGTAGTGTTATTGGATTTTTTATTAGCCTGTGTGGTGTTGATTGAATGTTTCATAACAGTACCTGTACCGCTTTTCTCCCCGTTGTCCATTAGCGTCAACAAAACAGAAATGATCTTTTGAACAAAGGCATATTTATAGTATGATAACCTTGATGTCTAAAAAAAGAAACTATTCTTTAATTATTGAAAAAATGTCAAACTATTATGATGTGGAATAATGTGAAAAGAAAGAATCTTTTTTTTTTAATTTTCTATTTATTGTTTGTTCTTATGTGTTGAATTGTTTCGATATTCATTGATTTGCGACATTTGAATAGTGCGAACTCTGGCTGATAAAAATTTCAATATTTATGCTATAAGCATGGATGGTAAATTTGGAATTGTGTAATGTTGAATTTTTTATATATTGTTAGTTGTAATAAACATCCTATTGGGGGTTTTTAAGATTGATAATTTTTTTTAATAGTTTTTTCCCAGGGGTGAAACGACACCCCAGGACGCGAACTTCAAGGGTCGGACCGTCGGATCCGACTGGAACGGGAACCCCGGGTTCGACGAAGTCCTTGGCGATTTGTAGAGGGGGCGGGACTCCTATAAAACCAGCCTGGAAGACCGTTCGGCTGAAATCCAAGCGAAAAAATGCCAGCGTCCGGGGCGACCGTAGAACATCCTAGGGAGTCTATAGACTTGCCTATAGAGCCCGAAGGAGTCGATCTGTTCCTCTCAGCTCCAGACAAGAAAAGCCACGGCGAGTTCCTCCAGAGGGTGCAGCAGATGCTCCTTGACCATGCTTTCCAGGTAAACTATCGAATAATTACAAGCTTTCGACAAGAAAACCAGACATTAACCTTTACAAACATAATAAATATGAATTAGAACTTCCTGTCTAAAAACCTCGAAAAAATCCCTACTCTTGCATCCATTTTGCTTAAATTACAATGCACTACAGTATCATAAAGCACTGACATTCAGGTACCTTAGAGTTCACTAGGAAGTAGGTTTGGATGACCATAGGGAGATGGCTCACCATCTAGGCTCCAATGGAGCAAGCTCATCGATACATATTAAAATGTAAGACTATGATTCCACAAAGAAGAAACAAACAGATTGTATTTAATGCCATGCCATGAAATGGTGATGTTGCATGAAACAGGATCAATCAGTTATACAGTTGAGCATAGTTATAGCACCGTTATTCCATAGTAGTAGTAACATTACATTTATTTATGATCATTTTGTTCTAATAGCCTTACATACAACACATACACTAATAAATTAATACACGTGCCTAAGGGTCCATAATGGTGGGGATGACCATAGGTGGTGCCTCTCCAACCAGACTCAAATAATGCAAGCTCACCAACACATTTTTAAATATTAGACTATGATTTGACAAAGAAGAAATAAACAGATCGTATTTATAGTACAAACCGTCCAAGGAATGGTGATGCTACACGAAACCGAGGATCAACTAGTTTAAGCAAAGTCATAGCACCGTTTTTCTCTAGTAGTCATAGCATTACATTTATTTATTATTATTTTGTTCTAATAGCTTTATATACAACATAAATACTAATAAATAAATACTCGTACCTAAGGGTCTTCAAGGAAGCTGGTTTGGATGTCCCTAGGGGATGCCTCTCCAACAAGATTCAAATAATGCAAGATCAACACATTTTTAAATATTAGACTATGACTCGACAAAGAAAAAATAAACAGATTATATTCAAAATACAAACCGTCCAAGGAATGGCGATACTACACGAAACGGAGGATCAACTAGTTATATAGTTTGAGCATAGTCATAGCACGGTTTTTCCCTAGTAGTCATAACTTTACATTTATTTATCACTTTGTTCTAATAGTAAACATATAGACTGATAAATACATACACGTACCTCTAAGGGATTTCAAGGAAGCTGGTATGGATGACCATAGGTGGATGCCTTTCCAACCAGACTCAAAAAATGCAAGCTCATCAACACATTTTTAAATATTAGACTATGAATCATCAAAGAAGAATTAAACAGATTGTTTTTAAAGTACAAACTGTTCAAGGAATGTCAATTTTACAGGAAATCCAGGATCACAATGTTATATAGGTCATAATAACATCGTCTAGAAATCATAACTTTAAATTTATTTATGTATTGAAAATTTTCTTTATAATTTTGATCTAATAGCTATATCCAATGTATAAAACATGTAGCGTAGTAATTAAATTATTTCATGTAGATTTTGCAATGCCACAAGTCTCATCTCATCTCATCTCACAAGTGCTCACAGTCACCACGTCAAAATATGACCTTAACTATAAAAATAAATCTATCTATCTAAAATTATTTGGTTAAGTTAATTAAAGCTGTATTGAAAGGGTTTATTCAATATTGGACGTAATGTACAAATAAATGACATAATATTTGTCACATTGGTCATTGGTTGATCATACAGTCATAGATAATAGGTTACATTCTAGTTACACATTTCGGTTTTTTCTACCCAACAGTTCATTATAAATCGTTTTGTTATTTTAGTTTTTAATGTTGTTTTTAGACTCGTTTAATTTACGATAGTTTCTGTTTCTTCACCCATGATCACTATTGCTAAATTGTTGTTTAGAAAAACGTTCTCGACTAATGACTTTGATGTTAAAATCCGACCTTTCTTATATTTAGTTAAATAATGAAATCCTTCATTTATGTTTGGTTTTTCTTTTTTAAGAGCACTCACAGGGAGAGCAAGGTGGCTCGATACGTGGAACCTGAACGGCTGAAAGAGATCATGGACTTGGACTTGAAACGAGAGCCTAGCTCCATGGAAGCCCTCATCGGCCACATTCGTGATACTATGAAGTACTCTGTCAATACAGGACACCCCTTTTTTGTCAACCAGCTATTTTCCTCACTGGATCCGTACGGCTTAGCCGGTGGATGGGTGACGGACTCACTCAACCCGAGTGTTTACACTTACGAGGTGATTGTTTCTGTTTGTTTTTATGATCAGCGTTTTATGCTGACTGTTCTTGAAAACGTCGCCAATTTATTTTTAGGTTTCGCCTGTGTTCAGCTTGATGGAAGAGGCCGTACTGAAGGAAATGAGAACCATCGTCGGATTCACAGAAGGAGACGGCATCTTCTCCCCAGGCGGTTCCATCGCCAACGGATATGCCATAAACTGCGCCAGGTTCAACAAAATGCCACAGATCAAGGTAAAGGTGTGTTTTGTTTATTTCCTGATGAATTTTTTAAATATGATTTCATTTTAGGAAAAAGGCCTACACGGGCTGCCCCGTCTCGTCCTTTTCACATCGGAAGACGCCCACTATTCCATCAAAAAGATGGCTGCCCTTCAAGGGATCGGGTCCGACAACGTCTACCTGGTCAAGACGGAAGCCAACGGAAAGATGGACGTGCGCGACCTCAGGGCACAGGTGGAGAAGTCCCTCGAGGAAGGAGCAGTACCGTTTATGGTCTCAGCCACAGCAGGTAAACCTTTTTAACAACTAAAATTGAAAGACTTATGTTCTGATAGCAGAGCATCGGCGTTTTTTTAACGCTTTTAAAACACCTCATGACCGTCAGTTCTGTTAGGCATTACCCCATATTAAGTTTGGTTTAAGTACCTAACTCTATTAGTAAAAACACGAACTTAATTGTCGAAAAGTATGTTTATATACAGCTCAAATAAAAATAGTTGAAGAATATTATTCTATGTCTGTGCCTTTGTTTTTTGTCGCACCTAAGCCATATCTAGCTCTTTGCAGCTTAATTATTATTCTATATCCATTGAAAACTAAACGATTAGAACAAAGATAGCCTGATCTATGTTGGTGAATAGTCTAAACGTATTATTTTTTAGGCACGACTGTCCTCGGAGCATACGACCCTATAGAGGAGATCCACGAAGTCTGCAAAGATCACGGCATGTGGCTGCACGTCGACGCAGCCTGGGGAGGCGGCGCCCTCGTCTCAAAGAAGTACCGACACCTACTTCGCGGCATAGAAAAGTAAGTCCCATTTCTTTTTACAAGAAGACATTTCTGTCAAGAAATAAATTCTAAAGCTGTCGATTTATTTGAACTTGAAATTGTGAGGACAATCAGGGCGTGGCTTGAAACCGTCACAAAAGAGGTCATATTTCCTTTCTTCCTTAAAACTTCGATATATTAAAAGAAATCATTAAAATCTCACGGCATTGTACCGACATTATCTTTTAACGAGAAACGTAAATTCACTCCAAGTCCTTGAAAGTCGCGGATAGAAGAAAAAGCTCTTAATTACCAAGGAAGTCAATTTACGACATAATCCATTTCTTGGTTCCCTAACCTTTCCAACTTGTCCTTTATCCTAAAATCCTTTCATATTTATACGACGGAGGTAACAGTTTTATTTGCTTTGTTTACCTTCCGACCAGAGTACAACAGAATTTCATGTACGTTCCAATATGATTATGAAAATTTTCTAGATGTCCCGGATGATCGGAAAAGTCCATACTTGAAATTTATAACCTCCTAGATATATAAAGCATCCCATATTTGAAACTTAATAAACGATCTATATAAATTTCGTTCAAAGGTTTAAAAAACATGGAAAAAGAATATTGATAATATGAACAAAGCCCAGATGAGAATTTTCATTGTTATTAAGAATATTATTGTCTCAGTCGTGTTCGAGGCCAGATGCAGGTTGATTATGATTTTTTTTTACTGGATAGAGATCTCACGTATTAACGGGCACGCGATCCTTCTATAATTACAAGGCAAAAGACGTCCTTGCTTGGCAAAAAAAGGACTTTTATACTAATTTATTCGGGTCAAGTTTGTTTTGAGGCAGTCAACTCGGCATTGGTCATCAATCGAAAAAACCCGGAATCGAGAGGGAAAAGTTATGCAACTGTCCGCCAATTGGGTTAAACTCACCTTGGTTGGACTTTTTCTTTCGCCAATCACACATCCCTGTGCCAGAGTCTTTCAAGGATTGCAAGATCGCGTTAATGGTGAGTCGGTGAACCTTGAGAGTCTTCGCGAGTTGACTTCTTTGAAAAAAACACTTCCTGGCTTCGGGAAAAATTGAAAACTGGTTTAATTCTAAGGTCAAATGTTCCGATCCACGCCCCACATTAAAGCCAAAACTTGAACTTCTTAAGACTTGAGACTGTTTTGAATATTTGCTTATTAGTTGAACTTAGGATTGCAGTTTGGACTAGCAATTATTTCCGGTTTGGTCTATCGAACTCATCGATTTACGAGTCCATGTGGTTTGGGAATGCTACATGCCATATTGCCCGATAGTTTGGAATGGTTAGGTATAGTTTGGGATCATTACACACCAGGTGTTAGATAATCTGGGTGAAGGATGGGAAGGGATCGTTACTGATGGTTACACATCTGACCTCACGATATTTTTGGGTGGTTAGAGATGGTCAATGTTGTTTTGGGATGGCTAGAGATAGTTATGAATTGGGGTCATTACATGTCAAATCTCACGAAAGTTTAGAATGATTTCTGATATTTTAGAACCTTTTCTCACTACACGATGATCTGGGTGAAGAATGGTTAATAATGATTAAAACACACACAATACCCCGGGATGATTAGAGATAGTGATGAACTGGTATGGCTAAAAATGATCAGTGGTGATATGGGATGGTTACAAGCCAGATATAACGAAAGTTCAGAATTTTGTGTGCTTGTTTGTTATCATTTCACCCTATATGTTACATTATCTGGGTGGTTAGAGAGGATCAGTAATGATTTGAGATGGTTAGTGATGACCTGTGATGATATGGTCTGATTACACTCCACATATCAAGAAAGTTTAAAATGTTTTGTGTTAGTTTGGGATCGTTACACCCTACATGTTTCATTATCTGGTGAGGAATGGTTAGAAAGGATCAGTGATAATTTAGGATGTTTAGAGATGACCTGTGATGATGTGGTATGATTACACCCCACATATCAAGAAAGTTTAAAATGTTTTGTGATAGTTTGGGATCATTACACCCTACATGTTTCATTATCTTGTGAGGAATGGTTAGAGAGGATCAGTGAAAATTTGGGATGGTTAGAGATGACCTGTGATGATATGGTATGATTACACCCCACATATCAAGAAAGTTTAAAATGTTTTGTGATAGTTTGGGATCATTACACCCTACAAATTAGATTATCTGGGTGAAGAATGGTTAGAGAGGATTACTGATGATTTGTGATGGTTACACACCAGATACCACGATAGTGTGGAATGTTTTGTGATTGTTTGGGACCATTACAACCTAGATTTTTGAAAATCTGGGTGAAAGACGGTTAAATATGATTAGTGATTTTTACACATTTTATTTCACAAGGTTTCACATGGTTAGAGATGATTAGCGATGATCCGGGATGGCTAGAGATGATCAGTGACAATTTGTGATGGTTACACGTCAAATATCACGATAGGTTAGAATGGTTCGTGAAAGTTTGGAATCATTACACCCTACATGTTTGATTATCTGGGTGAAGAATGGTTAGAGAGGATCAGTGATGATTTGAGATGTTTACATGTCAGATATCACCATAGTTTGAAACAGTTCGTGATTGTTAAGCATCGTTACACTCCAGATGTTAGATAATGTGGGTGAAGGATGGTTAAATGTGATTTGTCACGATTACACATCTGATTTCACAATATGTTTGGATGGTTAGAGATAGTGATAGTTTAAGATGGCAACGCGTCATAATTCCCCATAATTTGGAATGGTTATAGATAGTTAGTGATATTTTGGAATGGCCAAAAATTATCAAAGATGATTTGTGCTGTTTTTAGAAGATAGTGATGATTTGAGGTGGTTACTTGTCAGATATCACGATAGTTCGGAATGTATAGTGATGGTTTGGGATCATTACACACTAGAAGAATAGATAGAGGTGATGGTTACACATAAGATTTCATAATAGATTTATATAGTTAAACACACATTTGAATATAATACATCTAAATAAACAGCTAAAATGGATACAAGATACACCAAATCAGCCTTAATTATAATAAAAACCCTCTTCCAGGTCTGATTCAGTTACGTGGAACCCTCACAAAATGCTGGCCGCTCCTCAGCAGTGTTCGACTTTCTTGACCAAGCACACAAAGATCCTTAGTCAATGCCATTCCGCCCAGGCCCAGTACCTCTTCCAGAAGGACAAATTCTACGACACCAGCTACGACACGGGCGACAAGCACATTCAATGCGGAAGGAGAGCGGACGTGTTCAAATTCTGGCTGATGTGGAAGGCCAAGGTATTTAAATTTTTTTCGACAATGGAATTTTGTCCTCATGCCCTCTGTTGCTTTAAGGGAACGGACGGACTGGAAAAGCACGTCGACCGTGTTTTCGACTCCGCTGAATACTTCACGGAGAAGATCCGGGGTAGGCCGGGCTTCAAGCTGTTCGTCGAACGGCCGGAATGCACCAACGTGACCTTCTGGTACGTCCCACCTAGCCTGCTCGGCAAAGAATCGGAACCCGACTTCAACCAAAAGCTCCACAAGGTAGGAAAAAAAATTCAAATCGTTCTTTAAAACACCTGCTGACTCGTCTTCTTCTCAGGTCGCACCGTTAATGAAAGAAAGGATGATGAGGGAAGGGACGATGATGATGACCTACCAACCGCTTCGGGAGCACCCCAACTTTTTCAGATTGGTCATACAGAATTCTTCCCTCAACCACAACGACATGGATTACATCGTGGCCGAAATCGAAAGACTCGGACGAAACTTGTAAAACCTGTAAAATAACTTGTCGATCGTATTAGTATTTATTAATTTATATTATCATCGCCCTTCCTCTCGTGGGGGGAAAACGAAAACAGGGCACCCTCTCCTTTCTATTTATAATGTAGCTATATTAATTATTATTTGTAATGTATAAAGTTCTGGATATATATGTATAATATATCATTTTAAAAGATTTACATTTTGCTATTACTTCCTTTACTGTAAAACCAATGACCACTATTGGCGATTCGTTGCTGTTTTGCCATTAGTAGACGTTTAGAAAAGATGAATAGACAACCCCTGGTGATAAGGTTTTGTAGATTGATTAGGTTTCGTGGTCCGATTGACCAAATAAATTCTCATCAATTAATTAATCTTTAAGTAATGAATTGGTTGAGATGAAAAAAGTCGGTGTCACGAGCGGGATTCGAACCCACGACCTTCGGCTAAATACGCCTCTGCTCTACCACTTGAGCTATCGTGACTTCGATCCACTCGGACACCAACTTTCATCAAAGAGATTACACGATTGAAAAGTGGCAAAAAGGAGGGAAAATTCAAAAGGTGGGGTTGAGATAGTAAATAAAGCAGCGGCGCATATAGCCGAAGGTCGTGGGTTCGAATCCCACTCGTGACACAGAATTTTTTCATATCAATCAATACTTTTCTTATAGATTAATTAATTGAAAGTTTTGTTGATTTATCGACCAGCTCATGCAGATAATGTTCACTTGGTGATCAAATAAACTATTTTTAATTTAAAATCTTCGTATTATACATTTTTAATTTTGCAATTTCACATCAATATAAGTAAGAAAATGACATACATTTTTGTACTTACTGATTTTTAGTCAGAAATAAAAGAATTGAATTGTCATGCCAACACTGAAAACAATTTTTCTCGCTTTTTTCTTCACCTTTTCAACTATGAAATAGTCTAGTCACTTCATAGTTGAAACGGTGAAGAAAAAAGTGAGAAAAAAATTTCAGTGTTAGCATGAAAATAAAACAAATCAGAAGTAAATAAAAATATAAATTGTTTTATTTTCACGCTAACATTGAGAATTTTTTTCTCGTCTAGTCACTTCATAGTTGAAAAGGTGAAGAAAAAAGTGAGAAAAAAATTTCAGTGTTAGCCTGAAAATAAAACAAGTCAGAAGTAAATAAAAACGTGAATTGTTTCATTTTCACGCTAACATTGAGAATTTTTTTCTCGTCTAGTCACTTCATAGTTGAAAAGGTGAAGAAAAAAGTGAGAAAAAAATTTCAATGTTAGCATGAAAATAAAACAAGTCAGAAGTAAATAAACTTGAATTGTTTTATTTTCACGATAACACTGAAAAGTTTTTTTCTTCACCTTTTTAAGTACGAAACTAGTCTAGTCACTGAATAGTTGAAAAGGTGAAGAAAAAAGTGAGAAAAAAAAGTTCCGTGTTAGCTTGAAAATAAAACAAGTCAGAAGTAAATAAAATGGAATTGTTTTATTTTCACGCTAACACCGAAAAAAAATTTTCTTCACCTTTTCAACTACATATGAAGTAACTAGACTAGTTTCATAGTTAAAAAGGTGAAGAAAAAACTTTTCAGAGTTATATAGTAAATACAAAAATGTTTTGTTACAATACAAAAATCAATATGTTCTTACATATTGATGATAAATTGGCCAAAATTAAAAATGTAAAATATATCCTTTTGTAGATCCCTGAAGAAGGTACAATAAAGTTCCGAAAGCAAGACTGAGATTTAAAATTAAAAATATGACCAAGTGTACATTATTAGACATTTATTTTAAAGTTTTATTGTACAGTATTGTTCCTCTCAGTAAATATTTATTAACTANAAAAAATTTCAGTGTTAGCATGAAAATAAAACAAGTCAGAAGTAAATAAATTTGAATTGTTTTATTTTCACGATAACACTGAAAAGTTTTTTTCTTCACCTTTTTAAGTACGAAACTAGTCTAGTCACTTCATAGTTGAAAAGGTGAAGAAAAAAGTGAGAAAAAAATTTCAATGTTAGCATGAAAATAAAACAAGTCAGAAGTAAATAAATTTGAATTTTTTTATTTTCACGATAACACTGAAAAGTTTTGTTCTTCATCTTTTTAACTATGAAACTAGTCTAGTTACTTCATATGTAGTTGAAAAGGTGAAGAAAAATTTTTTCGGTGTTAGCGTGAAAATAAAACAATTCCATTTTATTTACTTCTGACTAAAAATCAGTAAATACAAAAATGACTGTCATGTTCTTACATATTGATGATAAATTGGCCAAAATTAAAAATGTATAATATATCCTTTTTTAGATCCCTGAAGAAGGTACAATAAAGTTCCGAAAGCTAGGCTGAGATTTAAAATTAAAAATATGACCAAGTGTACATTATTAGACATTTATTTTAAAGTTTTATTGTACAGTATTGTTCCTCTCAGTAAATATTTATTAACTATAAAAAAAGACTTCCGTTTTAAGCTGAAAGGTAAACAAACAATAAAACTACGTGGTTATCTGATAAAAAAGTTCAACGACCAGTAAATCTTCAGAACGTTGGTGGTTTTTTTAAAGCAACAATAGATTTTGTGCTATCGATGTATGGATAGACTAATTATAGTCGAAAACAAAAAGTGAGATTAGGGGGATATCTTACCCAAAGAAGAACACCCACCAGGACACCCTCAAACATCCAACTTTCCCATAAATTACGCAAATTTTTTCGCGGCTGGTTCGATTGGTGAAATGGTTGTTGGTTCAAAAATGAAGGGCCAGGAACAAAGGAAAAAGTTAAAATCCAAAGATGAACGACCAAGAAAAAACAACGAAGAAAAACATCCAACATTTTTCACAAGTTCGATAGATTTTTCCATTGACAAGATAGTATTTGGTAACAACAAAAAGGACCAAATAAAAAACAAACGAAGAACGGATATCTGATAAGCGTCAAAACTTAATAATCTGCCTAATTGATCACTAACTTTATTAAACTTTATTAAAATAGATAAATAAATTGATATTCCAGTTTAAATTCAAATAGGTCAAGGCCACAAGACTCGCTTTTCTCGCGTCTCCCCACTTCCAGTATGGCCACTGATAAACTGGTTAAGGGCTTTCGCAGTGAGCTATCAGCTATGGACATGTCACTGGCAAAGAAGGTGGTTCTCATAACCGGCGGGAGCTTCGGCATCGGGAGGAAACTGGCTGAAACAGTCGCCTCTGAAAAAGCTCTGGTATTTTCATTGATTTATTTTAGTTTGAATTTTGCTTTAAACCTATGCGTTTATTTTATAAATCTTCAATCGTTTGACCATCGAGAAGTGGAGCGATATACCGTCAAACAACAAGAAAAATACCTTTTGTGCAAGTTTCATTTTCAAAGACTCTCCTTGCAAGAGTGATCATGGACTTTTTGGGTCCGTTTGCTACAAATATTCTCATTTATTTATTAAAGAAAGAAAATAAGGGCATGTGATTTTCTTTCCCTCTTATGTATGCAGATTACATAATTTTGGAAAATGCACTTCGCTCTCTGTTTCATCAAGAAGCCTGGGAAAAAAATATATATAGCCCTGCTTAAAAATATTAAGCTCTACTTATTCTGTTCATGTCCCTAAATTTATAATAAAATATAATAATAATTTATAATAAATAACACGAAACCTGATTGATTTTTATTGTGGTGTCATGTATGCTGCGATTCTTTTATTTATTACATTTTATTAGGTTTCGTGGTCCGATTGATCAAATAAATTCTTTTCAATTAATTAGGTTTTGGCTGAGATAAAAAGGCAAAAGGAAGGAAAATTCAAAAGGTGGGGTTGAGGTGGGAAGTTGGTGTCCGAGTGGATCGAAGTCACGATAGCAGCGGCGTATTTAGTCGAAGGTCGTGGGTTCGAATCCAGCTTTTGACACTGACTTTTTTATCTCAACCAAAACATTAATTAATTGAAAATAATCATTTATTCATATTAGTCAATCATTTGACATTATAGACTGAGGCTAGACATAGAATAAGGCTCAGTTTTAAATGGTTGATTTTATTTTAATTATTTCATGTTATCTATTGCTCGGGTTTACATCTGTGTAATTAAATCCAAAAAAAGATATGGTACTTGGAAGAGGTGATAAGGGAAAAACTCTAATCATTTTAAAATAACTCACGGTTTGCGTTGTTTATAGCGCTTGAAATCCGGATAGTTGAAAACTGATAAAAAATGATAGTTGAAAAAAGAGGATTAAAAAAAGAGAAAATGGAGAGTAGAGAGAAAAAGAGAGATGGGTAAATGAGACAGTATGAAAAAAGTGAGAAAAGAAAAATGAGAAAACAAGAGAGAGATGGATAATTGAAACTGTAAGTGAGAGAGAGAAAGAGAATGAATGAACGAATATTGTTTTATTTACGAATTCATCAAATTTAGTTGCGAACGACCTCTCTTACACTTGTTGAAAGATAGATGATCGATAGATAGATAGATAGATGGAGAGAGAGAGAGGAGAGAGGAGAGAGAGAGAGAGAGAAAGGGAGAGAGAGAGAGAGAGTAAGAGGATGGGTAAATGATATAATGAGATAGCATGAGAGAAAGTGAGACAAGAAAAATGGAAAAATAAGAGAGAGATGGATAAATGAAACAGTAAGCGAGAGAGAGAAAGAAGAAGAAGAATGAATGAATAGGTTTTATAGAAGACGAAGGAAGAAGAATGAATGAATAGCGTTTTATAGAAGAAGAAGAAGAATGAATGAATAAATAAATAAATGAATAGCGTTTAATTTACAAAATCTCGCAAATTTAGTTGCGAACGACCTCTCTTACAATTGTCGAAAGACAGAGAGAGAGAGAGAGAGTGAGTGAGAGAGAGAGTGAGAGAGAGAGAGAGAGTGAGAGAGAGAGTGAGAGAGAGACAGACAGACAGACAAAGATAGAGAGAAGAGAGAGAGAGCATGAAAGAAATAAATGGAGAAGGAAAGAAAAAATTACGCTGAAATGGATACAGAAAAACCGAAAAGTGTGAGAGAGAAATAAAAAAAAGAAAGAGAGTTATATACAGTAAAAACGAGAACAATTAAGGATGAAAGCATAAAGAAGATAGTAAGAGAAAGAAAGAAAAGAAGAGAGAGATTAGCGATTGAAAGATGAAAGAAAGTGAGTGACATGGAGATAGAGAAAAATAAAAACATTAATTATGATAAAGAAAGAAAACGAGTAAGAGAGATGGAGAGAGGGAATGAAGAATGAAAGGAAAAAAGACAGTAAAAAAGACAGAAATATAGAAAGATTAGATAATGAGAGAGTGCGAGGAAGAGAAAGGGAAAAGAAAGAAACATGAGATTCCATGAATGAGAGGAACAGTAATATAGACTGAAAAATATCCATATAAAAATATAGATAGATAGGAAAAGGTTGAATTAAAAGGAGCGATAGACAGAATTAAAAAAGAGAAAGGGAGAAATGAAAAATGCACAATTTAAAGTCGATTTCGTGCCAGTTAGCTCAGGTGTTTATGTCTTATTTTATTAATTTTGTCTTCAGGTCTCAGTTTGCGACGTCAATGAAGCAGACGGGGTAGAACTGGAGGAGAAATTGAACAAGGAACACGGAGAAGGAACGGCAATGTTCATGAAATGCGACGTCACTGACAGAAATGCTTTCAGAGGTAAGGACGAAACTGGCCGAAACATTTTCGTTATTTTTGTTTATTTATCCATTTTCCAGATTTCTTCCAAAAAACCAAAGACCGCTTCGGCAGGATCGACGTCGTCGTGAACAACGCCGGATTCTTCGACGACAGCGACCAGAAATGGGAGTCCATGGTGGATGTCAACGTGGTGGGTTTCTTTTTTCCACCCTAATTTAAAAAAAAATCTAAATGTGTTTTTATTTTTTATCAAGTAGTACTTAATTAACTACCACTAGTAGAACATTCTCTAATCTACGAGATAACTTTTTTTATGGCTTTATCGGCCCACTGTATCACATAAGACAAAAAACTTTTGTACTGATAAAAGATAACTTATAAAGAGAGTAATATTCTTGTTCTCATGACTTGAAAATGATTCAAATTACAAATTTGTATTTTCGGAAATATCTTTGGTTCGAGACTATGAGGGAACATCCCATTATCCAAATCCAAAGTGTGGACGTCAACAAAAAAATACCTTTTCGGACATGTTAGTACTAGAATAAGCAGAATTTTTTACGCATAAATAATTTTTTTTTTAAACCGTATGACGACTTATATTCGACTCGGATGTATCATCATAGATCAAAGGAAAAAAGACGATCCATGAATTCAGATAGTCGGACTGAAGGATGCCTTAGGCTCCTTAACTTCAAACTTACGACAAGTCCTTATTGGATCCGTCTTCACTTGCGGGTTTGTCGAACTATTCAAATTTTGGCCTTCCACCATTTGAGAGTCTTAAAATTAGACCAAATGGGACTGGAATTTAGTATAAATCAGTTGAAAGATACGTTAATCCAATTTTAAAGAGTGGACAGCAACTTATGTACATGACTACGTTTGGGGGTAATGTCGTGGTTTTGTTTTAAAACAACAATAATAAGTTCAAATAAGAAAAACGCCTAAACTGGGCAAGAATGTACCACAAATCGGAAGGGAAAATGGTGGATATCCATTAATCCTATTTAAAAGGGTGGATATCAACCTAACCAAAGACCCCTTTCCTTTTAAAAAAGATAGTTCCTACTCACAATAAGTTGTTTTCAACGATCCGGATTTCGAGCTTTTAGCTCATCATCAGGTTGAAGGAGTTCTACAACCACGTCTCTTGACATGAATTGCAAAGTGTCTTTTTGACTTTTAGACAGACGTTTTGCAATTCATGTCGAGAGACGTGTTGTAGAACTCCTTCAACCTGATGATGAGCTAAAAGCTCGAAATCCGGATCGTTGTTTTCAAATGGTCGTCTACCATCGATGTTTTTTAAACTAAATCCCTACTAAGGATGCAAGGACCAGCCTCCAAATGCTGTATCATAAATCAGATGTAAAAGTTGTGAAGATCCATTACTATAATTCTAAAGAGTTGACATCAAACTAAGCATGCCAAGACCAAAGTTTGTAGGAAATTACACTGACCTCTGTACTCGTCACTCACAGATAATATGCCATACCAGGCATAGAGGACCAGTTCGGCTAAATCCACCTAACTTGGGGCGTCGGTGGCCGCAAAGGTTTAGTCGTTGACACGGCGCTCATGACTGTAAGGTGATTCGAACTGTCCCGGGTTCGAATCCAGCGGCCCTGTATTCGAATCCGAATACAAATGGGCTTTTTTTGTAAAACACCGCCACCCTGAGGACGCATATGACCTCTGCTGTTACGAACCCTCATTATTATTATTTAAAAAAAAAACTACCTAATTCTTCACTACCTTAAAACTGACCACAACCGAAGACAGTAATGCTTCTTATAAAAAATTCTTTTCCTTGGCAACACCGTTGAGGAAGAGGTCCATATGCGAATCCTTTGGAATTCATACTTCAATATAATGCAGACATTATCCTTGTTGATTTGACCTCTTTTTTGTGTTTAGAAAGGCGTTATCACTGGTTCCCTGCTCGCACTCGAATTCATGGGCACTGAGAACGGCGGTGAAGGAGGAACTGTCTTAAACATATCCTCAGTAGTCGGATTCCATAGGATGATCTTTATGCCGATATATTCAGCGAGCAAAGCAGCCGTGCTCATGTTCACCAGGAACATGGGAGTAAGATGAGATGGTTGGTAACCGTGCACGTTGAATTCTTCTTTGAATCGTTTTCCAGGACGAGCTGCATTTTTCAAAAAACCACGTCAAGTTCATAGCGATCTGCCCTCACGGCTCGCTGGGCAGCCACTTCTTCGAGAACACGCGGGGACGGTTCCTCTACCCGGACGGCTATCTTGAGGACAAATTCGAAAAATGCTTCGACGTCCAGTCATTTCAATCGTACGTAATCTCACACCGACTTTTGTTTTCTTGTACAAATTACGACTTTTTTTAGAGTCGATCACGTCGCCCAGTCCATAGCCAACGTCCTCAAAGTCGGCAGCAACGGAAGCATCTGGCTAATAGAAAACGGGGAGAAAGAGAAGGAGGTGAATATAGTCGATCCAAAAATTCACGGCGTTGATGAGCAACCGAAATCATCCTGCTCGCCATAAACCATAAATTTAATCAAAATCTATGTTGTTTTTTTTATTGCAATTTATAACAGTTCGATCTGAACTATAAGTTTTACTTCCTTAAAATTTAAAATAAAAATATATATAACAATAGAGAAAAATATTAATGAATCTTTAATCCATTTACGTTTTAGGGGTCAACTGACCAAGGTACTTATTTAATTAATTATTCTTTTTATGTAAGGTCTTGGTTGAGATAAAAAAAAGTAAATGTCACAAGCGGGATTCGAAAAGTGGCAAAAAGGAGGGAAAATTCAAAAGGTGGGGTTGAGATAGTTCAAGTGGTACAGCAGTGGCGTATTTAGCCGAAGATCGTGGTTCGAATTCCGCTCGTGACATTGACTTTTTTATCTCAACCAAGACGTTACATAACAAATAATAGAAATATTATGTATGAAAAGAGAAAAATAAGATACCTCAAAATGTTAATAGTTACGTTATTTATGTGGTAAAAGAGGAAGTGTCCTTATTTGAGCGCCAATTTAACATCCCTAGTTTAGTCAGCTTGTTATTAAAAATAAATTGGATGCCAGATAGATATCAGTATGTAAAATATATATTATATTTTAAGTCCATTATGTTTCGTGGTCCGATTGACTTCATTAATCTTTTTTATTTTTTTTATTATGTAAGTTATTGGTTGAAATGAAAACGCTAGTGTCACGAGCGGGATTCGAGCCCACATTTGGAAAATGGCAAAAAGGAGGGAAAATTCGAACAGTTGTATAGTTTCAGATGCAGTGTGGTTTCCGAGAGGATTGATGTCACGATAGCTCAAGTGTTCGAGCAGCGGCGGATTTAGCCAAAGGTCGTGGGTTCGTATCCCGCTCGTGACACTGACTTTTTTATCTCAACCAAGACCTTACATAAAAAGAATAATTAATTAATGAAACTTTTATTTACATTTTTACCCAACCATTGTAAACATTTAACTCTTATAGTGTAAAATCTGAGGGTTCGAGGTCCTTGAAGTGAATCTCCAAATAATTAAAACAACCCAGGAGTTAAAGATTAAATAGTGTTGTATTTGTTATACAATGGCTGAAAAAAATTCCATTTGTGTATGGAATATCCTCATGTTATAACGTTTCCTCTGGACAATTGACTTAATTGTCCCCTAGGCGACAAATTGAGTACATTAATGGTGATGATTAAACAAATTGAGCTAATTTTCTTCATCACAGATGAGAGGGCTCAAAGTTTTTACTTTAAAAAAACTTAGAAAGACTCTAAGCCAAGACCCTGACTCCTGATAGTTCAGCATTCCTGTTTAACCGAGAATAAATAATTATAATTAAAATTACTTAATTATAAAATCTAAATGATATCGACTCGTCGCCCTTCGTAAACAGCAACACCTAGATTCTTTTATCCATTTTTGTCAGAGTTGACATGGCTTTTTTAATTTCTCCGGTCTCGAGGACAGCAGGTCGCAGCGTACTCATTACTTCGGGCCGGATTGAGACATTGGAATTTACTCTAAAATTTATAAATAGAATTTCTAACTGTGTGTGATGTTCTTTTATGTGAATGACATTCTTAAGCGTTTATGGCGGTTTGGCACACATTAAATTTGCAAGGGTGGAAGAATGGATTGGATCCTGAATCACTGATGGACTTTCCACCCACCCTTGGCTATCACACCGATTCATTTCAAAATAAAACAAACATTTTGAAGGGAATTCTTCCCATTTGTCTTCTAAATACGGTATGAAATAAATTATTAATAATATTTTGGCAATAAATCATAATTTGAAAGTGAGGAATTCAACCTAAATATCTTTTATTCTGGATGACCTTTTTAACCACAAAATGACATACGGAATGACCAAATTTCTATTGAATACATCGTTAAAAATAAGACCTGGGAAAACTGGCTGAAGGATGAAAAGTGGTTCGTTTACAACAATGCTCAGAACGGTACTTGGGGAAAACGCAGCGACACACCGTTTAAAATCTCCAAAAGCAGATTACATCCCAAGAATTTTTTTTCGTGTTAATCGTGTTTTTTAGGCAGAGCAGAAGTCAATAACGTTGCTGTTTACTTCAATACAACGTAAATAAATTCAAAGAAAGGAAAAGGATCAAATGCAGACCAGAATGTACCATAAATCAGAAGAAAAAGTTCTGGAGATCCATTAATTCAATTCTGATGGGTGGACATCAACCAAAGGACCCAAAGACCAGAGTTTCTAGGAAATTGGATTGACCTCTTACTAAAAGCCCACGGAAATAAGTTCTAAGAAAAAAAATGAACCAAATACGAACCAGAATGTATCATAAATCAGAAGGAAAATTTCTGCAGATTCTAAGGACGGAAAAACCAGGTTGTAATAAATTTGGTTGACCCTTTACTTAAAACCCACGTAAATAAGTTCAAAGAAGGAAAATGGACCAAATACGAACCAGAATGTATAACAAATCAGAAGAAAAAGTTCTCGAGATCAGTTAATTCAATTCTGAGGGGTGGACATCAACCAAAGGGCGCAAAACCCAGTGGTTGTAAGAAATAAGGTTGACCCTTTACTTAAAACCCACAGGAATAAGTCCAAAAAAGGAAAAAGGATCAAATACAGACCAGAATGTATCACAAATCAGAAGAAAAAGTTCTCGAGATCCGTTAATTCAATTCTAATGAGTGGACATCAACCAAAGGACGAAAAAACCAGTGGTTGTAAGAAATAAGGTTGACCCTTTACTTAAAACCCACGGAAATAACTTAAAATGAAACTTAAGCGAAAAATGACTTAAACTGGAGAAAAACTTATCATAAATTACAGATAAAAGCAATTTAGAACCATTAATCCAATTTTAAAGTGTAGACCTCAACTGAACGATGCCATGACCCCCATTTTTAGAAAGAAAGAAGAAAAAAGTTCAAGTAATACAAAAAAACTATTTGGGCTAGTCGTTAATCAGATGTAAAAGTTGTGAAGATCCAGTACTCCAGTTCTAAAGGGTGAACATCAACCTAAGGATGTGAAGATCACGGTTTGGAGGAACATGGGATGACTTCTTTAGTTATAAACTACCAAAATAATTTCTGCTAAAGAAATATGGCTTAAATTGGGCTTGAATATAACTTAAATGACCGGAAAAAGGACTTATGAACTATAATTTCATTCAATTCAACCATCCATTTCTAAAAGTAAGTAATATTCAATAAACAAAATAAAGTCTTGTATCGAAAAATGCAATGTATATTTATTTTGTTTTATTAAAAAAAAAATTAATTGCACTGCCCGGGAATCGAACCCGGGTCGCAAGAATGGGAATCTTGCATGATACCACTACACCAGCAGTGCTAGGCGTTGAAAGTAGGCTATTCTTTCCCACTTGAATGTTGAAAATATCATTTTTTATTTATTCAATTTAATTAAATGTTTTGTTTTTTGTCTTTCGTATAAAGTAAAAGGCAAAATGTTAAAGGAGACGAGTTTCGAATGTGTGTAAAATATAGAAAATCTCTTGAAAAGAAATAATCACCAAGTAGATGTGGGAGGTAGCTGTCGGCCAGGTTTTTTCTCCTCCCGTCCATCTCAAAACACATACCTTTATTTTCCTTTTTCCTCGGCGTTTTCCTTCTCTCCCCTTTTTTCTTCTCTCTCCTGCCCAAGAGGCGAAGCGACAAGGAAAGAAGTGAAATCGAAGGAAAAACTGCAATTATCAAGAGAAGGCCTCGTTTTATAAATAGTACCACAAGCAGATTAAGATGTACACTGTCTCAAATCGTCCCAGTTCGATTGTCGCTAAAACGAGAAGAAGTAAGTTTTGATGGTAAAAAAAAAGCTTTATGTTATAATATTAGACTAGTATTTACAGGCAGGAGCTTTGTTGCGCGTTGACCCAACGGTGGTACTACATACAACACAACAAAAACACTGTTATCACTTAAACTGATTATGATTCAAATTATATAATACAATAATCACCATTAACCACCAATATGATTTTTCTCTCTTGAGTCGCTAGGGATGATTCAACTAAGTTGACTAGTTGACTTCCGTGTGAACAATTTTCTTGGCTGATTTCACACCAGGCAACTTATGCAATCTCTTCTTAAGGGATGTTAGAATCCGAGGAAACAGGAGCATTTCTTGCGCTAATAAATCTCCAGGATCATCTGTCCGGTTTAGAAGAATGGTTCAAGAGATGGAAGATCTGATTCATACCTTGCAAATAAACTTAAGGCCTCTTTTAGATGAGGCAGTTTGGTTGATTCAACCAAGTCGACTAGTTGACTTCCACATGAACAATTTTCTTGGCTGATTTCACACCGGGCAACTCATGGGATCTCTTCTTGATGGAGGTCAGTATGGTGTTAGAATCCGAGGAAACAGGAGCATGTCTTGCTCTAATAAATCTCGAGGACCATCTGTCCTGTTTGGAAGAATGGTTCAAGAGATGGAGGATCTGATTCATACCTTGCAAATAAACTTAAGGACTTTTTCAGATGAGGCAGTTTGGTTGTTTCAACCAAGTTGACTAGTTGACCACCGAAAAGAATTTTTTTGGCTAGTTTCACACATTTGACTGCTGTGTGAAGACTTTTTTTTGGCTGATTTTATTCCAAGCAACTTGAAGGATCGCCAATGGAGTATGATGTTAGAATCTGAGGAAATAAAAAAAGGAGTGTGCTTGCTGCAAGAAGAGAAAAATATGGGTTCATCCATTGAAGCAGGCGCATTCTCCAGGTTCCTACGCACAGACATGCAAGAACAGACACCTAGCAACCACCCTAACAGACAAAATAATCAAACAACAAACAAATTTATAAAAAAAAATTACAAACAATAACCCCGAGTGTATTGATCCAATAAGTGACCAAGTGACACTTCAACAAAAGATTTTCAGAATAAGTTGTAGATAATGATGCTACCAAGTCACTCGGTGAGTTTCAAAAGTCATTGTAAAAGTTCAAAAAGTCATTAAAAGTTGTCAAACCTCCTGGACAGCCCATGTCAATAAAAAATAAAAAACAATATCGTAAAAATTTATTATATAAATTAACAGGTGAAAGAACGGTAATGGGGAAACATAATTGTGAATGGGTAACAATAACAGGAAGACTGGAGAAACTATCCAACAGAAGAAAATTTCAGATTTTTTTTTTATTCACTCATCCTTTAAATTTGGCTAGATACGCTTGGAATTCTTGCAATAACAAATATTAACAACTTAAAGTTGGACCTATTATTAATAAATACGACCATTCTTATTGTTTCAGATATATTGCAAAACGTAGAAAGGCTGGAAAATTTGAGGGAAGCTAAAAAACCTCAACAATACGAAGAAAACACAAGGTTACTTTTTATCAGCCCCCCCCCCCTTTGAAGATATATTCTAACTGTAATTTTTTTTTAGTTTCAGTGTTCCAAAACCCGTATTTCAGCCGGTGAACGGAAAGAAAAACTATACGTCAAGAACGCAACACAACCATATCACACCACAACAAGAAGAAGTTATAAAATTCATTTATGATTGTAAATTATTAAATCAAATTTTAAAATAATACAGTCTAAATGTAAAAAAGTAAAATTTTGATTTTTTTTTAAGCATGGATGTCAGTCTGTAAAGAAGGTGAAGAAACAGAGAAGAAAAAAGCTCAGAGTTCAAGAGTCGTTTATTACGAAAGTCAACCAAACAACGAACTGAAAGGTAAACTTTTTTTTTTAAAGACCACCGTTTTAAAATCTAAATTTTTATATTAAATTTCCCTTAGATTTCACCCCTTTCGATTTGGAGTCTTGGTGGGGAAAACGACTTTTCAACACGATAACAAAGTCCATTCCTTGAGCGGTCGCAACAGATTCGCCGGGCTGCTCAACCTGCGCCCACAATCGTTGGCACTGACAGATATCTCAAGACAATACTTAGTGTATATTGCACAATTTGATATATCCGTTCCTTTTTTTAACAAAAAATAAAATAAAAAAAGAAGGACAGAATCACTTACTAAGCAAGTAACGTGAATTTAAAAAAATGGATTTTAATTCGAGGGAAATTTCCTTTTTATTAGGGCATGAAGGAATTTCCCTTCGGTAAAAATTTCCATTACGTAGTCAATTTCTAGTTGCATGTGTTTATAGTCAAACGTTTTCCATGTTTTCCAGGACTTGTAGTGATATTTGTAAACTTTCGCTCGCTTTTTCTTTTTCTTTTTTTTTTTTTTACAAATCCCAAAATAAGAGTGAATAACGCATTCCACTAGTTGTTAGTTTAGCCTTTTGCCTTTAATCGGAGTCGAAGAAAGTCAGCGCACTCCGAAGTTGAAGATAAAAGAAAGTGTTATTTTTGTACAGAGATTCGAAGCTGAGCGAAGTAAACAAGGTCCGGGAAAAAAAATAATTGCTCTCTCCCTTAAAAAAAGAAAGAATCGAGTCAAGGAAAAGAGGGAAAATTATATAATGTTAGAATTTTTTTCCATCTTTGACAATGTCTTGTCATTTCAAATCGATGGAAATTGTGATAAATGTTTATAGAGACAATACAATTATTATTAAAAAAACAAAAAAATTAATTTTTTCTTTCTGATTTCCTTATACGTTCCTTAAAACTCTAAATTTATTATTAAACGCTTAATTGAAAAAATAGTTACACAAGTTGAACTTTCTGTTTTAATAAGTCAATCGACAATTTATGAATACTTGTTTCGTTACAATTTTAATTTTATTTGACATTGATATGAAGTTCGTCTAAATTTGCCACAATCCTGTCCATAAGGGCCTCCACCTGGTAGCTGTTCGGTATACAGGCCTGATCAGCGGAAATACCAATGTTCACTTTGTCACCATAGCTCAACACTGAAAACCCAATACCTGTAAAAAAAAAAAAAAAAAAAATCGTTCATTTATCATTTACAGTCATGTAAGTCTGCTATTAAAAAACCTGTTTTGTCTCTGTGAGGTAGCCAAAATTTTATGTCTTGAACCACATTGCCGAAAATTGATGCTTGCCCTGGCCCTGGTATATTGCTGAAGATAAAAGTGGCATGATTGCTTTTCAGAGCGTTTCCGATAAGCCCAAGAGGCAAGAGGCTAAAGCCGACTTTCAAAAGCCAGTAGTTAACCAAAAAATCAGGCAGGGTTTTCAACGTCTGCGTGTTTTTGCTAATGGTTGAGAACATTTTTTGAAATCTGCCTTTTAAAGGTATTTTCAAAAGTGCCAGCGTGAATCCTTCCGATGGAGACTGTCCTTGTGATATTTTCGCTGGAATGACTAGAGTGACTTCATCTGTGTTTAAATTATGTTGAAGTCCTTTCGCTATCGAATAAAGCAGCATGGTCGTAAAACTACACCCAAGTGAATTTTTAATCTCCTTTAATCTTTTCAATTCATAAATTTTCCAGAAAATGAATTTCTTTCCTATAAGGGTTTTATTATGAAACGCATTGATATCAGGTTTGCTGAATATCTGCTTCCCTAGGACTGCTGGGGTGTAATAAAGGGCTGTTAATTTATGAAACATTGATGTTTTCTGCTCGACAAAACTCCTGTTTGTTTCGATATTTTTCATCTCGTTGGAATCAGGTTTGTCAACTAGAATTTCCAAAAATTGCTTCATCAATGAGAACCCATCTCCGATACAATGGTGAACCCTGAATATAACGTAATAACAGTTTTTATACACGGATTTTTCCCCAATGATGATTTCCCAGAGGGAATCGTCAGGCAAGGGTTCGTTGGCCAAATCGGACAGAGCCGTTTCTAAAGAGGATAAATCATCCTTTCTGATCTGTCGGTTTAAATCCGTCACATTCTTCAACCAGTAGGAGTAGCCGAATTCAGACCATTTTGCACAGTAGGTCAATTTCTCAGGTCCGAATTTCAGCAGCCTTTCTTCAATCGCTTTAACAAGAAGTTCTTTTATGTCACAATCTGAAAATCACCTATCAATTAATATTTATTATTTCATCTCAAACATCAACCAGAACAGACAGAAGTAGAGGGGGAATGAAGAAGCCCTTGCAAAGAAAGAGCAGCCAAGTGCTGACAGATCCTAAATCCTTTTGTGGTATAGGGCCCCATACTATCAATGAATATTCAAGGATCAACGATAAAAAAAAAAAACTGACAGTAAGCAAGGAGATACTCTGAACCCTACAGGATTCTTAGTAAGGCACTGCAGACTGAATGGACACGACAAAAATTCAGGAGTGTGCAGATTCTGTGAAGAAGTTTAAAAAATAAAAAAAAATTCTTGGGGGGAGGGCAACATGCAAGCACACATTTGGTGTCATCCTATTAATCAACTAAAAAAACCATGGGCTGTGCCGGGTTTCAAGCCAGCATAGCACATAAGAGTTGGAAGCCTTAACCACTCAGCCACCGCGGCCACATTCTGCGAAGAAGTAGAAGAGACCTCAACGCACCTATTAACAGACCCGCTACATCCACAGGAGAAAAAACTTCTAAAGCCCAGCCAAATAATCAAATTCCTTGGTGAATGGGACTCACCTGTGGGCTTTATGTTCAGAATGGGGGATAAAATATCTCTCAAAGGGTGCAGTGTGCCAAATTCCACTAAATTTACACCCACATCTTAAAATTGACCTTCAATTGTAATTGAAAAAAAGGTGAACAACTTTTCTAGATTTAGCCTTTTTGTCCATTGCCTATTTTGATGGGTTGGATTAGGTTAGGTAGGGTTAGATTTAGGGACACATTAGGTTATGTACAGTTATAGTTAGGGATGGGTTAGTTGGTTAGGAAGAGTTAGGGTTAGGTTAGGTAGGGACTAGGAATGTTGGTGTTGGTGACATGTTAGTTTAGGTAAGGATGGTTAGTTTAGGTAGTGTTAGTGTCAGGGCGGGCTAAATAGAGTTAAGGTTTGGGATGGGATAGGTTAGGTTAGATAGAAACTTATATTGACTAATGTTAGGGTTAGGGACAAATTAGGTTAGGTAGAGTTAGGGTTAGGATGGGTTAGGTTAGGGGTATACTGAGCCCAATAATCGAATTCCTTGGTGAATGGGACTCCTAGTGTGCTGTAAGTTCAGAACAGGGGATAAAATAGCTCTTAAAGGGTGAAGTATACCCAATTCCCCTGAATTTACACTATATCTTAAAATTGACCATAAATTGAAATAAAAAAATTTCAGCTTCCTTAAGAATTTTTGATTTTAAGTCTATTTATAACCAAGGTTTTTTTTTTCTTAAAAATAATTATGAAATTTAAGGAATTCACAGACTAAGCTATTTTAAAATGGCTCTGTTTGACATTCAAGTGAAGGCATGGTGAATCATGCAACAAATGTGAAAAATGTAAATAATGATCAGATAAGAAAATACAACGCAATCATTTTTTCTGTTCTCATCAGTAATTCATAAAATACTCTACAATTTTGTTTTTATTGCTACTCTGAGAGGCAAAAAAAGTGGCCACCCTTAATATTTTTAAGTATCTCTTATACAATCCTCCTTAGATAATAAGGCTGCTGGACTACATTCAAGAAAGCCTACCACTGGTCAAGAACTTCTGACAAGGCACAGAACATCTCGATTAAGTTTCACAAGAAATCTTGTTTTCAGATGAGTCAAGGTTTTTCTGAGATCTGACGGCTGAGAAAGGGTTTGGAGAAGAACAGAAGAGCAATTTAACCGTGCAACATTTTGACTCAAGAAAAGCTATGGAGGTGGTGGTGTGTTTGGGCAGGCATTTCTATAGAAGGCTGCACAAACTTGACCTTCATCGAATGTCCCCTAACAGCTGCACGATACGAAGATGTGTTATTAGAAGAAGTTGTTCCTTATATGCCAATAATTGGCAACGGTTTTATCTTTAAGCATGATAATGCAAGACCCCACATTGCTATGATTGGGGTAGCCGGCATTTAGTCTTAAACCCTATCAAAAGTAGTCAAAGAGGGTAGAAAACCACCCAATGATTCCAGAGAATTTGCAAGAATTAAGAACGGTGCGATTGGAGGAGTATGAGAATATTGCACAGCACAAGATTCAAAACCTCATAAAATCGATGCCATGTCAAATGCAAGTGGTGATCAACACAATTGCCTCTCAGTGCATTATGAAAATTTATAATTTTATATAGTATTTAATGAAATAATTTATATTATTGCTCACCTTTTGATAACTCTATAGTCATAAGTATGTTAATTATAGACCTTGAATTGACATTTTCAAGCGCCCAGTATGCATCGGGGCCTGTTACGAGTCCGCGGTACTTTTCCCTTCTCTTTAAAATCAATTCGACACATTTTCTGTAAATATACAGTGCTGTTAAAACTGCGGCAATCTGTACAGCTAGAAATAGAACTATCAAACTCCTCGTAGCTTCGCGTACGAAGGATGAAACCTGGAAAAGCTGATGTTAGAATCACATCGGATAGAACATAATTTATTTTACCTTGAAATCGTTGTTCTTCAAGTGAACCCCTGTCACGCATATTGAAAATAAATAGAGCACACTGATGAAAGGTGGATTGTTCTGAACGTTGTTCAACAATTCGTTCTCATTTGTGCAATTTGAAAAATCCATTGAAGTTTTCCTTATAATTATTAGGAAAATTAATGACTATTTTCAACCTGTTCTGAGTTTAACTTTGAAGTGAAGGCGAACTAGTAGGGCAAGAAATCCTATTATATTAAGGCTTCTTTATTATATCACTTTAACCATATTAAGTTATTGCGTATTTAAAAAAAAAAATCTTTTCGTCATATCTCATTTATTTTTTGCTACGTCTGGGTGTCAGTTCATAATCAGAAAGTAGAGGCAGCGATTCAAAATTGTCATTCCAGGGCTGAATCTCTGCCGATCCTTGAAGGCAAAAGACTGCATTTGTCGACAAAATGACAAGAAACGTTATCCAGAATACGTGCCTCCATTCCATCAGAAATCCCTGAATTGGTTTGATTTAAATTATCGCATGACAAAAAGAAAAATGTTTATAATTACATTGGGTGTTAATGAACTGACGATATAAGGAATAACAATGCCGGACAGTCCTCCAATCGAATGACTTAGAGCTGCCACAGTGCCTATAATAATTATATTTTATTTTAAAAATTAATAGATTTATTTCTTTAAATTACCAGCATAATTTGGAGCAAGGTCGATTGGATTGACTTTCAAACTTGGATAGAAGCAGCCCATCAACGCCATGCCGACAATGAGGCATGTCATCGCCACATGGACATTACACCCTGAGTACGATGCACCAATCAAGCCAAACGATGAACCTACAGAACCTGTTATGTTTCTTTTAAATTATTATTTTACCCAATAATAATAACCCAATAATAATAACAATTACCAATTGTAGCCAGAATCTTTCTATTTGTTGTCAAGGACACGATTTTCTTTTTGTTTATGACATCGACAGCCATTCCTGACAGGATTGAAGTGAACCAAAGCAACGAGTATCCGATTCCTAGGTAGTCGCCGTTCTGTAAAATTTTATTTTTATCCCCTGCTTTTCCAGTGGCACTTTTACCTAATAAATACCTGCCTGATATTAAAGTGTAAAACGCATTTCATGTATTTCGGTATGTCCGTCACTAGGGCGAACATACCCCAGTCGTGGCCCACCATTGCGATAACGATCGCCCAGACGGGATTGCTTTTTAATATTCTCTTCCATGGGGTCTCTCTGTTGTTCTAAAATTGTATATTTTCATTTAAATTTAAAATGAACTGCGGGAGAAAACCAGCATAAGAAAAGTTACTTTTATGCAAAGAAATTTCTTTATCATATGAGTTTAATAAAAAATTAACTTTATGATCAATTATTCAACTTTAGAAGCTTATAAAAAAACATCTAAGATTATTTAAACAACATACTCATCATTATTAATTGAAGGTTAAGGTTAAAAAGTGTCTTTACGACTTTGCGCACTATGTCCAATATTGTATCTTAATTATTATCTAGAGCTTTTAAGCTTTTTTAGTCAGATCCCAAAGTTTTTTTAAGGGCTCCCATGTCCATCCTCCAGGCCTTGACTTTTCCTCTCCCTGGAATAGGAATCTCAGCGATAGACCTTTGCATTATCAAAGGACATGTTCCACTGTTTCTTCTAATTCATACTGGCAATTAGACTTGTTTCTGGTGGTCTGAGTCTGTATTGCCCAGCCAGCATACTATCATTCTACTCCTAACGTTCTGGGCTTAGAAGTTCTGGCCTTAGTTTCTGCTATGGTCCTTTTGGCATACCTCTGTCCAGCAATGCATTCCCACTGAACCAAGGATTCATTTTTAATCCATTTTCTGATGGACCTATGATATTTGCAATTTGGTATGGTATAAAACTATTCAGGGATAGGTGTCCTGATTTAATTTTCCTTGGTTGTTTTACTGACCTCCTCTCCCCCATTTTTTCCCTCAATGCCTGACAGCCTTGATGCAATCAGAAACAACTCTGGATTGTACTAACAATGAGGTAGTTGCCTTTAGTGCCTAGCTGCCCGAAAAGATGGCTGTACTTTATTAAAATCTAGCCTTTGTGCTGTCCAGGAAGCATTCCCAGAACCTTATCAACCTAAACTTCCTTCTGAAGCAAAAATTTTGACCCTAGCCTCCCCCTCAATAAATCAGTAGGTCTTAAAAATTTTTGCAAATAATAATTTAATATCCTTTACCCCACTTACCTTTCTCTTTCTGATTTGTGCCGCATACATTTCGAGTAGGGTCCTCTCTTCCTTCGAGAGGCCTGTGTGGTCATCAGGAGTTGAGTAGACAGTTACAGTAAAAACTACGGCCCATACGACGCTCAACACCCCGTATAGGTAGAAGACCATCTCCCATCTGCCAAATTTGTAGATGAGCTGGCCGGTGGCCACCATAGAAATCGTATTTCCCAAATGGGATCCTTTTAAGAGGATTGAATTAATTTTTGGCATGTTCTAATAAGATTTTTTACTCACCGGAAAATACCAAAGTGCCCCAAGTCCCTCTTTCTTCCAGTGGTATCCAGTGAGCGACTAATGAGTGAAGTGCTGCATAAATGACACCCTAAATTTAAAACAGAAATTGTTTTCTGGCCAAAAAATTAAGCAAATGGATTATTAGGACATCTCTATAAATAAATTTTAAAAGATAAATTAGATTTGTTCTACTGTTAATTTTGCAGGATGTGCGTTGTACCTTGATCATCTCTGAACACCTTAGGAACCTTTGCTCTGAAGATGATCGGAGATAATCTTGCTACAAGTTCATTGCCTCACGGCCTTAATGCAAACATTCAAAAAAATTCCTCTATTATCAGAAAAATATAATGTGTCCCATTATATAACATTGGGTAAAACCTGAGATAATCCGACTCCGACTCTTGTAACTATTAAACCCATCCAATCCCAAGAATAGACGAAATAGGGTGTCAACATTGTGAAGACCCCGGTGAGTATGACTCCTCCACCGAAAACCGTCTTTCCACCGAATCTTTCAGACAGGAGACCACCCGGTATGGGAGTGACGACATAGCCCCAGAAAAATGAGCTGAGTATCAAACCCTGCTGATGCTCCGACCAGGTGTACTGCGCATGCTGTCACCACAAAACTTCTGTAAGAATTAATTACTTACTGAAATCAGTAAAAACACAAATTTAAAATCAATAACTCAAATTTAAGTAAACCTAAAACTTATAAAAAAGTAATTAAATTTTCATGCACTGCCTTTACTTAGAAAATCAGTCACTTTGATTTTGTATCTTCTCATTACTGTGATATTTTCTTTGCCTGTTTCAGATTTAATAATGACAGAAGCAGGCATAGTAGATACAAACTTATGATCTAGCAAAATCTGCTGGATGCATCTTTTATTCTTCAAAATTATAACACCGTCACCTATTTCGATGGTTTGGGTTAGGTTAAGAATGGTTAGGATTGGTAGATGTATAGTCAAAGAAGTGTTAGATTTAGGGACAGGTTAGTTATGTAGAATTATAGCTAGTGACAGGTGAGTTGGTTAGATAGAGTTAGGGACGGGTTAGACTGGGTTAGGTAGGGAACTAGGAATGTTAGGGTCATGGTTTAGGTATAGTTAGTGTTAGGATGGGTTAGGCAGAGTTAGGGTTAGGGACGGGATAGGGACTTGTAATATGAGGGTTAGTGTTGGGAACATGTTAGGTTAGATTAAGTAGACTTAGGGTTATGGACGGGTTAGGTTAGCTATAGTTAGGGACAAGTTAGGTAGGGACTAGTAATTTTAGGGTTGGTGTTGGAGACAGGTTAGGTTAGGTAGGGTTATGGTTAAAGACGGGTTAGGAGGTTAGGTAGGGACTAAGTAGTAAAGTAATATTAAGGTTAGGGTTGGGGACAGGTTAGGTTAGGTAGATACGATTGTATATAAATCAATTTTATATTGATCTATTGCGCAATTTTGAAAAAGTTGACGATTCAATGGTCGAAGTATTGTGTATTGTTTCCCTTTTAATTTTGTATTTTTGTACATTTTACGGCCTCCGATTCAATGTAATATGTCCCGTTGTTTGAAACGGGACGTCATGGATGCAAATGTCTAAAGGAATTCCAAAGGGGCGAAGATTCATTCTTGTTGGAGGATGTGACGAACTACTTCCCATTGATTTCCGATTCGGTCTGACGAATTGTGTTAAAATTGGTCGAAATTCAACATTTTAACCACCCAGATTGGGAAGGAACTTTGGGAACTTCCTAAAATTAGACAAACAGACGACCCCAAATAAAAACGACCGAAAATTTTACATTCTGTCCTCTCAATCATCAAAAAATTAACAATAAACCAACATCCTTACAATTGTCGTGTTTTGCTTTGGCTCGGGATAAGGGCACGAATTTGGATCTTCCTTCGTGAAAGTGGTGTTGGTCATTTCCGTTATGGCCAGTGCCAGACAGAACCTCATGAGATATGAGATGGTCAGTCCCAAGCAGCAGACGACAGCTATCAGATGCCTTTTACCCATAGAGGAAAACCCTGCGAGTGGGAATATGCCGAAGTCTAAAATCACGACGTTTTTTCTAAACCTAGGTGTTTCAACAAAGAATAAAAAAGAAAAACGAGGAAACTATTGATTCAGCTGATTCGTCACAAGTTTTCCTCCGAAATGTCGACATGGACAGGCTGATGGCAATCGGGAATAAATGAAATTCTAATAAAAAAAGAAATTGAAAATAAAACCAAGAAAAAACAATACAATAAAATAAACAAATACAATAAAAACTGCAATGAACAATGCGAAATTGTACAAAAATAATTTAACAAGTTTGATAAAAATAGGTGCAGGAAATTAAAGTATAAAAATTTGCTTACATATTTTTATATAAGTACTAATATATTTTTAAATAGAAAATAAAGCACTCTCAACTGCTTAACTAATTCGATTACAATATATCTTTTAGCATTTAAAGAGCATGAAAATCTATTAACTAACTAGAAATACTATTTACTAATAAAAAACTAAATTTCAAAGAATGCTAATGCAACAGAAAAATAAAATAAAGTTCATTTTTCCTTTGCATCTCACTCGCTCTCATTTTCCAGTTGTCCCAATTTTCCTTCTCGCTCTCTCTCTCTCTCTCTCGCTCTCTCTCGCTCTCTCTCTCTCTCTCTCTCTCTCTCTCTCTCTCTCTCTCTCTCTTTCTTTCTTTCTTTCTCTCTCTCTTTCTCTCTCTTTTTCTTTCTTTCTCCCTCTCTCTCTTTTTCTTTCTCTCTCTCTTTTGCTCACTCTCACTCTCCCTTTTTCTCTCTCTCTCTCTCTCTCTCTCTCTTAATCGAGAGTCTCTTGTTTCTTCTCCCTCTCATTCTCTTTCTACCTGTTTCTACGTCTTGCTCTCTCCCTTTTTCCTTCTCTCTCCATCTGTCATTACCTTCACTCTCTCCTTTTCTCTCTCCTTCTCTCACTCCTTCTCCCTTTCGCGCTCTCTCTTTTTCTCCTCTTGCTCTCAATTACTCTCTCTTTTTCCCTTTCTCCCCCACTCATAAATAGAACTTTTATTGGCTATCAAAAAAGAAATTCCTCTTTTGGATTTTAGTGTATGTATAATGTAATATGTTTATTTTATTTAGACTTGAAAACCAGGATAAATATATTGATACCTGAATATTACGTGAATTTCCGACTTTATAGGTCAAGACCCATGAGCATGAAATTTGACTTAATAGTTAAGAGGTTCAGTAAGTATATGAATAATGTATGAGTAATATCATCAGAAAGTTTAATTTGACGTTTGCTTGTTACTTTGACCTCTAAACGGCAGTTTTCTTCTCATCTGTTTTCTATGCGCTATTTATTTACTCTACTATTTTATCGTTGTGAAAACTCGTTGCAATGAAAATGGTGAAATTCGCCCACTAGGTAAACGGCAAATTTGAAATTACGAGTCGCAGTTGATCCGTCATGCGCGTCTCGCAGGCCCTTAGCGTCTAGAATGGGACGGGCATCGACCAAGTTCCCATAGCGACCAGTTTACTCCCAGAAAACCCAAACCGAAGCACAATCCCAGAGGCGAAGCCCACCTCATCCAGTCAAGTCCGAGCTCCCGGCCGAGTAACACGTAAGTCTTCCTATAAAACAAAAATTAACCATTTAAAAAAAAAATTCAATTCTTAATTTTAATGCAGTCGGGTCGGTTTAAATATCGATCACATTAATCAGCGTAACAGATAACCAATCGCGATTGAATCTTACTTTCTCCCCAGGCTAAAAATAAATTTATCGAAATGTTTTATATCATGATTTATACTATTCTTATTCTTCTACACTACATTTTTATTCTTGGACTATTTGATAATTTCTCGTTTTTATGAATGGGCAAGAACGCACTCAAAACCTGAAACCACTAGTTGAGTAAGTACACGCCCGCTGCGAGCTTTATAAGCCCGTTAAGTTCACCTAGTCTAAGGGCAGGGCGGTCGCAAGATAATAGAACAATTCAAAATTTAAAATATCCAATTAGTGAAAATCGTACGGAATATAATGTCAAACGGACAGTAGACGGTTTACTGCTCTCGTCGTATGGTTTTTCCAGCCGGGTTGGCAATATTAATTTTAAATTAAACACTTTTGTGACTTCATCAGACCTACATACATCTTGATCATATTTGGTCCTCTCACACATGTTTCTCAACTTTCACCTAAGCTGGAAAAATATTGCACAATAAAATATAATTAGATAATAATACATATTTAAAGTTAATTATTAAATACAACATTTATTCAATTATTATTTCCAATATTGACTGAACAACCGTAATCCATTAATAATCATAGTCTGGAGTGAGTGAGGACGAAAGAGGGAGCGAGATAGAAGAAAAATGAAAAGTAAGAAGGAAACTGGGATAGTAAAAGAGGAGGGATAGAAAGAAGAGGAGAGAGGAAGAGAAAGACAGCAAGAAAGAAAACTGAGATAGTAAGAGTGTGAGTCAGAGAGAAATATACGGGGAAGCGAAAAACAAGAGGCCAAGACAGAAAAGGGAATTGGGAGAGTAAGATAAAGTGATGGATAAATGAGAAAGTAAAAGAGAGACGAGGAGAGGAAAATGAGGGAGAAGAGAGAGACAGTGATAAATAAATGGGAGAATTATGGATTAATTAACGATTTATTGATAAAAATACACTCAAAATGTGTGTATGAGAGAGAGAGAGAGAGAGAGAGAGAGAGAGTGAGAGGAAGGGAAAGAAAAATTAGAGGGAGAGGAGAAAAAATGATGATAATATAAAAACAGAGAAAAGTTAAATGGGAAAGCAAGAGAGAGTGATGAATCAGCCAGTAAGATGGATTAATTAACGATTTATTGATAAAAATACACTCAAAATGTGTGTGTGAAAGAGAGTGAGTAAGAAAGAAAGAGAGAGAGAGAAAGAAAGAAAAAATAGAGGGAGAGGAGGAAAAATGGGAGGGTAAAAGAGAGAAAGAATGAAAAAGAAGAAGTTATGAGATAGAGAGAGATATGAATATTATTTTTAAATAACATAAAGTGGGAGAAAAAAATAAGGAAAATGGGAAAGTGAGTGAGAGAGAGAGAGAGAGAGAGAGAGAGAGAGAGAGAGAGAGAGAGGACGATAAAGAAATATTAGAGCGATAGAATGAAAAATGGAGGGTAAGAGAGAAAAAGAGTGATATAGAAGGAAAAATAAATACTACTTCCAAAATTAAAAAGTTACTAGTACTAAAAACTAAAAATTAACACCACATATGATTTTTTCGCAACAGCAAAAGATACCCTCGGGATGCCGGTGTTTTAAAAAAAAAGCCCATTTGTACTCGGATTCGAATACAGGGACCGCTGAATTCGAACCCGGGGCCTTTACCTTACAGTCATGAGCGCCGTGTCAACGCCTAAACCGTTGCGGCCACCGACGCCCTCAAAAACTTTAAAACTTACTTGTACACTCAATAGAATAATAAATTAATAATTAATTAGCTCTTAAGAATTTATACTGCCTTCAATCCATTGAATAGGCTAAACCAGCAACGCTCTTCTACATTGCATAAGTGTTGGACCCAAGCGCCGTCCGGTTCAATATATTTTTTATTTTATTTTATTAATTTTTTTTACCTTTACCTTAGCGCTGTGTCAACGCCTAAACGGTTGTGAACACCGACACCCTCAAAAAACTTTAAAATTTACTTGTACCCTCAATAGAATAATAAATAATTAATTAAATTATAAGAATTACAATTTACACTGCCTTAAATCAGTTGAATAGACTAAACCAGCAACGCTCTTCTGCATTGCATAAGTGTCGGTCCTCAGCGCCGTCCAGTTCAAGATCCTACGATTATTTTTCGCCCCGTTAAAAAACATTTTAAAAAATAATAAAATAAAATAAATTTTACGATTGTTTTATTATTTATTTTTTTAAGAGGGATTTTAACTACGAGGGATATGATGCCCTAAATGATTATTTAACGCTGTACGCTTTATACAATCACCCTGTAAGTTTCGAAAAGGAAATTATAATTTTATGTACATCTGTCAAAATCTGTTAGTTAACACTGGGCGGATCCAACTACACATAACTTCAATATGTATTTTTTTTGTCTAAGCGAAATTCTTGAAATAAAATAAGTATATGTGAATTTTTTACAGTATATTTATTTAAATGGAGAAAGGTGATGATAATAAATTTGGAAATATTTTAAAATCTGTTTTTAAGTGATCATTTGCCAAAAATAAGCTGACTTTTAACGTTCCTTGCGGTTCATACAACTTTTACCAATAATTTGGTAAAAATCCCAAGACCCTCTGATGGAAAAGCGTTATTTCTTCGAATCGCAATTAAATCTGAAGGACTTTTAAACTTAAAACTTTGGCAGGACGGAAGGGCGGATATCACTCCGGGCAATCTTGGAACAAAAGATATTTCCCCCTTTGTCGCTCATTGTCACTCCTTACAGCCCGTGGATAAAGGAAGCCTTCTGAATAATTCATCACAGTTTAACATAACTAAAAACAGAGGAATGTCGTTTTTTGGTAAAACGGTGTTTACTTTTCATTTCTAGCTACATGTAGATTCAAAGGATTTTATAAAATTAATAATAATGAAGTTTAACTGACCACCAAATATCAAGGGAATTGTTCCAAAGTTTTGGTTTGGCTCTAAATCAAACTAGTTGTGATATTAAGATTGTCTATATTTAGCAGGTGGGTAAGAAAGGCAATCCTGGATGAATTAGTTTCAGGTATATAAAGTATTGTAGAAATCTAGTTTTGCCCAGTAATGAAATTTTGAAAATACACATTTGAAAGTTATTTTTTTATTGCCATCTGTGAAGTTTTTGTGCTTGGTGTCTTTCAAGGGTTCATCCGTTTTGACAGGATTTCTTTTTCTCCCTAGGTCGTCCGTTTTTACATACCTACTTCAGGCTTACTAAATCTTAATTCAATTTAAGAAAAGCCTTTTAAATCAACCACTTTAAAAAAAACTAAATCTCCTTGTTTTTCCTGATCACCGCAAAAATCCTTCGTCACCTTTCTAAAAAAGCTGTAGTTTTCCTTACCTACAATTGTCTCTAGAATTAAACACTTACCTATCCCAAAAGAAATTTTCCCTCATACGAATGATTCCAAAATCTAAAAACCTTCCATCATAACCGTTCAGTTAGTCTGTTATTTAGAATGCTGATAATTTCAGAATTTCCAAAATGTTGTAATCGACTTTTTACGTGACCCGTTGACCTTGGCTCTTTAGGCTATGGCTTACTCCATTACCTGTAATCAAAAGACTTTTTCTCTCTGGAAATGGATGAATTCGAGATTCTTATGCAGTCCTGACCTTGCACCTTCAGAATCATTTCCTTTAGAAAAATGTGTTTCTTAAAAGTTAATGAGACTTATTGCAATAAAAATTCAAGTAATGGCACTTGGTAGCACACTATCTTACATTTAAAAAAAATTCAACCTGTATATAAACGATGTACGTTACGTTAAGTTTAGATTGAGATTTAGATAGGAGTCGGCCACTTTACTTCCTAGCGCATTGCGACCAATATTGGTCAATCAATCTCCATCAATGTCTAGAACTCATTGTTAAACTAACCAGATCCCAAAGCTTTGTTAAAGCCATTTCTGTGTGTGTCCTTCAGATATTGGCTTTTCCTCTCCCGGGATTAGGAATCTCAGCCGAAGAGGAAATTTCGCTGTTTCTTCTCCTTGATAATAACCGTACAGTCTTTTTAAAAAGATAGTTCCTACTCAGAGTAAGTTGTTTTGAACGATTCGGATTTCGAGCCTACAGCTCATCAGGTTGAAGGAGCTCTACAACCTGATGATGAGCTTTAGGCTCGAAATCCGGATCGTTGAAAATAACTTACCCTGAGGAGGAACTATATTTTTAAAAAGATTTAACAACACACTCACTCCACCATTTATCATTTCTATAGCTGTACGGGCTTGTTTCTGGTGCTCCGAGTCTGAGTGTCCTGTCAGCATGTCAAGTTAATTATGTCGACGAAGAAGAAATCGACCACGACGATAAATGTGTTTGGGATCTGGTTTCTGGTCAGGTAGAGAAAGAAGTACACTCTGTGATCACTTGCCACGCTTTCGGCCTTTACAAGACCATCATCGTTATTTATAAGGGCCAAAATCCTAGAAGAAACCCTGCTTAAACAAATTCTCCCCATCCTTCATGCCTTATCCCTGGCCAGCAGTTTGGGTTCAGACGTTCTCATTCCACAGTTCTGCAGTGCCATCGCGTTGTAGAAATCATCGCTACTATTCTCGAGCAAAACGCTGCTCTGGTGTAGTTCTAGAAGTGAAGCAAGCCTTCGATTGGGTATGGCACTCGGGGCTGTACTGGAAGAAGAGAGAGACCTACCGGCTACTAAAATCCTACTACCCGGCAGATACTTTCATCACTGGCCTCTCTTTATCAACCGGCTATCGCACAGAAACATGGGTACCACAATAAACTATCTTAGGACCCATCCTCTACACAGTCTACACCGCAGACCTACCCTGAAACGATCCTCACTACTTATGCGGTTTACACGACCATTTTTTGCTCTTAAAAAGATCTCTTCATCTCAACCTGAAAACCCGCATCCCT